CCCCCACACACACACACACACACACACACACACACACATACCTTAGCTCCAATCTCCACCTCTGTGACCCGAAGCTCCACAGCTTGACACACACACACACACACACACAGTAATCAGCAGTTTAATCATATGAGCGTGTGCACGTGTGTGAGTGACAGCGAGTGATGGTAAGCAGGGAGGGAGGATTAACTTCAAATTATACCTGAGGGAATTTTGACAAAATCATTTTTTCAGTTTTAATTACATTAATGCATCAAACACAAACATGAAGATTTTTTTTCCAGAACCATTTAATTTGTATGCACCCATTTTATAGAAAAAAAAATCAATAACCTTCAGTTGTTCAGAAACAAGACGACCGAACAAGTTGCATCTGTAAATCAACATATAAAGCAGAGATAAAAGAGGTAAATGATAACAGTTAAAACAGTGCATTGAACTCATTTTGTAACAGTGATGACAGATCATTTCCTCTAAATGAAAACAATTTTACTAATAATTGAAAATCGAATCAAGATATGAATCACACAATTCTCACAGAGATGTCAGCCTGTGTTCACACAACCTGTCCAACACACACACACACCCACACCCACACACACACGCACGCACGCACGCACGCACGCACGCACACACACAGGAATGATTTTAAATGTGAAGATGACAGACATCAATCAAGAACAAACATACTGTAAATGAAAGCAGGCAGGACAGAGTCAACCACTCGTCATGTAGGGAGGACCTGTCCGCCTCAGTTTTCACGACTTGTACGTGTGGAACAAAAGCACAGGTGTGTGTTACTCTCTTGGCATTACGTCCAGAATATTTTCAGCCAGGCTGGTGAGTTTGCAGTCCTCCAGTGCTCTGACCAGCCGGCTCAGCTTGGCCGCTCTCCCCTCCGCCTGGATGAAGCGGCTGAGCAGCTGATAGGCTTGCTCATACAGCCCTTCTCGCTCGTGCTCGTAGGCCAGGTTGTCTATGGCCGGACCCTTCAGAGCATGGCAGCTCTTCCCCAGGGCCCTTCCTACATGTTTCCACTGACGGCCCACTCCATTAGAAAAGCTCTGAACATCTGTTGCCGTCAGCATTCGGTCCTCTGACAGGCCAAGGGATAAGGGATGAACGAAAAAAACATTAATGTAAACTGTGCTTAAGTGTGATTACATAAACAGTGTGAATGTGTAAACAGTAAACATTTTCATAATATACAACAGACTTGTTGTCCACCTTAAACTTAAAGGACATCATCAGGATTTGTTTAGGTCAGGCCTATTTGATTCATCAGAGCTTTTTCCAATGACGACAAAGCACAACAGGAGTATTGTTTTTTGGGGGGGACTCAGGTAAAGTGTTACAAATTATAAAAATATGATCACCCTATAAATTAGCCTGTTTAATTTACACAACCAGCAGATCTAGAGTAACATTAAAATAATCCCTCTCCTTTTCACATGTTGGGCTTTTGAGGTAAAGTTCTTTCTGTACCACTGTGTTCTCCAGCTGGTCACTAACCGTGTCTGTTCTTTTGTGCAGGTGAAACCTATATAGATGTTTTGATGGCCTTCTCATTCAGTGGCCCACTTGATGGCCTATTGATATTTTCCCGATCATCCCCATTGCAAGTCCAACTACCCTGAAGACAGCTCAAAGGGTAAAAAGGTATAAAAAAGGATGCGGAAGAGAAAGACATTACTTTGAAACTGTAACTCATTGTTGAAGTAAGTGAACCAAATGGCTGCCTGATGAGGAATCAGTTTAAAATGTATGTTATGCTTTAACAATGAGTGGAAGTAAAGAATTGCGTGTGAAATTTATAGAAATGAACTTAATCATAGTAAAACAAGAGTATGGAGATTTGATGTTAACAAATACTTTCATTATTTGACTGGTCCCACCCACGGGTTTCTATTTAACTGGATCGAGAATCTCTAACTGAAAAGCCTCTTTGATATAGATGCTATTTTTGTCTCCACTGTGACTTCTTTCAGCTACACTCTACGGTGGAGTCTGTGAAGGACATACAAGACTAAACAGAACAAATGCTCATCATGACTCACCAAACACTTTATTCTGAAACTTGAAGCAGTTGCTGGGGACAGGAGGCTCTTCCTGTGTGATGAAGGTGGACTGTGGGGCAGGACCGAGGGCCTGACTCTGCAGCTGCTGCTCCAGATCATCAATCTCCTCATCGCGCAGGCGCTCGGGCTGATGCAAAATGACAAAGACGCAAAAAACACAGCCAATGCAATGAAACCTCACAGATTAAGCCATTACACAACATAGTTCTACCGCAGACATGATGTGAGACAGTCTGACATTTTCTATCTGGTGAACAAGTTGTAATTCCTGCAGCCATTATTAATTTTTTTTCTTTTAATTTTTTTTAAATTTTGAGTTTAATTTTGCTCTTTTTTGAGCAATGGTTTTCTTCGAGGTTGCGGTGCTTGTTGATTCTGTTGTTCCTGCTCCGATTTTGTGAAATTAGTTCTCCAACATGTGGAGCCATGTTGCATCAGATATAATTCAGATATAATTCAGGAGTTTAAAGATTCTTTTATAACCTTTTCATTTACTTTTATTATAGTTGTCACAGGTGTAATCATCTTTGTTGCATTGCGGCTTTGGGGCCATATTTATGATGTTATCAAGCTAACCTGTAATTTTAATTCAAAGGTGATCAGAGCTTAAACTTAAAAAGAAAAGGTATTCATTCATTTTATTGATATTGTGCAGGATCTATCCTGTTTTGTTGTATAGTCCTAGAAAGGACTCCTGGATCCCAAGTCAATAACAAATGACTCCAGTCATCCTATCAAAGGTAGAAAATCTTAGGTTTGTCAGTTCACACCTGGTTTTAGAGTGAATCTCAACTTCTCAATTGACCACTTCCTCCCATTAAATGCAAATATACACATACATCATTTCTGTTTGCAAAAACGAATTATGCTGTTTTTGAACAGTCTGGCTTTTTAGACAGATCAATCATCAATGTTGGTGTGTGTGTTTTGTGGGTCTGTGTTTTGGTGTTCAGCTGTGAGAGAAAGACTGGGGCCAGGAGGGTTGAGCCAATCAATGCAGCTCTACAATGAAATAAGATATTCTAATTTTTAAAAAAAGAGCAAATCAACATGTGGTAATCAGAGTTGATATTGTGTCGGTGGCCACAAGCACAAACATTGAGCAGTGTGAAAATACTGTTAGTTTATAAAACAATGTAGCAGGTTAGAGGAAGTCAGCTGAGAGGGCGGTCCCTCAAACATGGCCACATTTCAGCACCTGACTGATCACATCTCAAATGCATCCTCATCATGTACTTAGAGCTGCCCACTTGTTATTTGATCACCCAAGACTGATGTTAATACCAGGTCTGAACACTGAGTCATTTCATCCTGATATGAATATGAATACAATGTCATCCATCTTGAAAGAAGAGGCGGAAACATGAGGAATACCTGTGAAAGGTGGATGTGCTGTAGACAAAGTTCCAGCTTGTCTATGTAGAGGTCAAGGATGTGCGTGCTGGCCTTCAGCTGAGTTTCCAATGTCAGCTCTTGTGGCAGAGCAAAAAGCCGGCAGGCGTGTTGAGAGAGAGACTGACGCACCGCTCCGGAGCTGTAGCTCTCCAAGAACTGCTGACATGCTGCCACATCCACAAACTTCACCTCCACCCCCAGGAAAGGATCAGCGTCATGAATCTTCAGTATCTCATAACCACCCAGACCTCCTGCAGAATCTGACAACGGGACATATTCCTTAATGAAAGAGACATGAGAGACAAAACATTTATGTAATAAAAAACTCTTCTGGCATGCTCACCTATAAGTGTCAGTTTGATGACTTTGAAAACGATGAACTTTCCCTGTCGGTCTTTGTAGAGAGAGAGCAGGTTCACATTGGGACACAGCGACTGCAGAAAAATAACTGCACATCCTGTCCATGGCCCATGATCCACAGTCTTGTCCGCCATACTCTGAACGCAAAATGAGACACACATCACGCCACATAATTTCACTGGTGAGAAAACGTCAAAGAATCCTCTGTGTGAGCTGCAGACTGAGACAACACAACTGCAAAGACACAGAGAATAGAGTGTACAGTGCTGAGGTAAAGCCAAAGAAGTGCTTGTGTCGAGTTGCTGTAAAATTACCGGGAAGAAAAATAATTATCGCCTCTTAGTTTGCTCCTCTTCACACTTTTGCCACATGTCAGTATCTGTGTTTTCTCTAACTTCAAATAGGTTAAGAGTAAAGACCCTGTCCAGCAGCCTCCTGTCACATTGGGAGCTGTGAAGCATTAACCTACCCACCTACCTAACCCTTTGTTTCCTCAAAGGGATGCCAGGTTACTTCTCTTAGTTAAAAAGTCAGAATTTTCTGCCTTTCTGTTTTCTATCAGCTAAAATCAAACCTCTCTAATTACATCTGCTGAGGAGGATATGTTTTCACCTCTGTACTTTAGTTTTTTCTATGTGAGCAAGATTACACAAAAACTACTGAACAGATAACCATGAAACTTGGTGAAAGGACCTGGTATGGGTAAGAGAAGAATTAAGGAACTTTTTTCACTTTTTTTTTAACATTTTGAGATGGCGTCTTTTACAGTCTTCACCATTTTCCCAGGGAATGATTCATGGATCTTGATGAAAAATAATCAGGAATGTTTAGGGACTTATATCTATGAGTTTGTGAAATAGGAGAAGCTTGATTACACTAAAGGGGAGTGTGAGGCCATTCTATTTTTTATGCATTATTTTGAGACATCACTTGTGGCTTGAATTGTGATGCACGTGTTATGGACTAAAACATGAATCCATCAATCAAAAAGTTATCAATCAATTCATTACTCAACACTAAAATAATAAACATGTGATGAGAAAAACTTCTGACCGTTTCCAGTGACTTCATCACCATTACAATAAAAAACATAACCTTCTCACTGAATCCAACTGACCGAACCAGTGACGGACAGAATAGGTTTATTCCTGGAGTTAAAACCACGTCTGTCCCACTGGTTCCTGGCTGTGAACTCACTCCACCTTATCCTTTTTTAACCCAACCTCCTTTTGAAACCCTCATTACATAAAAACATGTTTAATCTCAGCTCTCCCCTCCCCCAGTCCAGCCCCTGACTCCTGCGCTCTGGATGAACCACTGAAGCCCGCCAGCTCTCTCCCTTAGTGTCGTCTCCATGCACAGGATGCACCGTGCTCTGCGTGGAAAGAGCATCCTCTGAGCTGGATTATGTACAAGTCCTCATATTCCACTAATACACAGTATGCTTGGTGACTGGCTCTACAGGAATCTCCACAACTTGGCCAGTATGTAATTATATGCTATCCTATTTACCGGTCCTCTGGAAGTATACTGTGAGATTAATTCACCAGATATACGAGGATTAAATGATCATCAGGAGCTTAAAACATATCATTTAGCTTTTGCTGCCAAAAGGCAACATCTAGTATTCCCTGGAGAGCTCGTTTGACATTTAGGTAAAGCAAAATAATTAATTCACACGAGAACATGCTTCAACAAATTAGTAATTTAACCTCTTTGTGATGATGTTAGATGATCTTTGACCAATCAGCATGGTGAAGGTATGCAGTATAAGGAAAGTTGAGTTTTATAAGATTACCTGCAATTTTTCTCTGCGTCAAGTAACACACAGAAAACATCAAGCAAGTAAGGTGGTATTATTTTATCACAGGAATACTGTACACCTGTAATCAATGGTTCTTTCATTAACATGAAATCTGACTCACTTGACTGTTAACTGATGTCAAAAAACATATATAGTGTGAGACTTGTGTCTGATCAAAAGTCAATAACCAAGAGATGTTCAGATGATTTATAGGCAACAAGAATTGGAAAATATCAACATGTAACAAGCTGCTACCAAAGTGTATATTTATATGAAATATTTTTTACCAAAAAACTAAGAGACATCAATTATTAAGATTCTTCATGTATATTACTGTGTATGCACGTATGTATGTTACTGTGTATGAATATATGTATGCTTTTATGCATGTTTGTATGTATTCATGTACGTATGTATGTAAGTATAATCTAGAGAAGTATGTATGTATGTATAACATATATATATATATATATATATATATATATATTAGTGTACGTTGGGGGATGATTTCTGGGCCCAATAACACGTTTTATGATAAATGCGGCCTTGTGTAAGATGTGTTTTAATCGCTCATTTTAAAGTAGTATTGTATATTGATCGATTCAACAGCAGTCAGCAGCTGTATACTTTTATAAATCTCACTTTTCAAAGAGTTTGTGTTAAAACGTTCAAAATGTGAATGGAGTCTGGTGCTGTGTGTTTTTGTAAGCAGGCTGCGTGTGGGTGAAGCTCCCGTACAGCAGACATGACTGACGTAAAACCTCGTCCAAACACACAGATGAAGAGATCGTTCCGCAGCTAAAAGACACCGGAGCAGACACGGAGGCTGCTGTTTCCACTAAATGTGGAGAAAAACACCTTTAAAGTCGCTTCAAACTTACCTTCAAACTTTTGCTTATATTGTTCACCGACGCTTCCTGTTGAGAGATCACTCCCACTGACACGCTCGGGACGTCCGGGCCTCCCATTGGCTGGACAGAAGTAAAAACGAGCTCTCATTGGTGGAAATGATCTACATGCCGCCCGGGGAAAAAGTCATGACGGGAAGGAAATGTCTGTTGTTTTTTTTAGCATGTTCATATGTAGGTCGAAGCTTCTCACACACTTATTCTTCACACGCTGCAACTTGTAACGACTGAAACATGATCCATGAAGAGGTCGGACTGATCACTACCGTGTTCACAGGAGACAGAGTGATTTGATTCACTTCATTTTCTGTTTTCTTGTGGTTGACCCCCAGGCCCCGTGTTCCTGCCGTGAGTGTGCACTCACTGTGGTTTTCTAAACTGAGATCAGCCCAAAACATCTGCTGAAAAACAACCGGAACCACAAAGTTCACAAGGAAAATCTGAATCAGATGTATTGATGATAAAAAAGAATTGCTTGATTCTGTTGTTAATGGGCTGTGCGCTCGGACATATTTGTTGGAAAATTTGATTGTAACAAAATCTTAGTAACACGTTGCCACATGACAAAATGTGAGTCTTGTAAAATTAAGTTTCTGTTGGATGACAGATTTCATTTTCATTTCAAAAGATATCAGCAGCATTCTGTCACGTCAAAGTTCTATTTCAAAAAACTTACCAGAGTGGCTGGTCTTCCATAATGTAAGCAAATTATTTTATATGTTTACCTTTATTTTTTACCTTGTTAATAGCAGATACACTCTTATTCCTAATCTTTTGTTTTAATTTCATTTAAACCAAAACCCACAGATGGCTTTACTGTTTCCTGTTTCAATAAAATGGAGGACACCTGTCTGACATACGCAGGGAGGAGTCTGTCTCATCTCATCCACTCTCACTTCTCATCCACTTTTAGCAGGTGTAAACTGAAATCATGTCTACAGACGATTTAACCAAAATCTTACATGTGGATGAAAAGGGAGGAATCTAATCTCATTGAAAAACCTCAGCTTGCTTTTAAAAGACTGAGAATAATAGTTAAGCCTGGGTAATATCTATGCACATGAATAAATAACACAAAGACAACAATAAAAAAAGATGTAAAGAAACACATGAGATAAATGAAGAATGATGTGAATATTTATTCATAGTACACAAGAGAGAAGTCATAAAATGCTCTGCAGGCTGAACTTCCAGCAGAATCACAAGAGCTTTTGTTGTTGACATGTTTGACAAATTTCAGAGTTTCTTTGTCTCTGTAGACGAGTGCAAGGGAGTTGTCCTCTGGATACACCGTCAGGAGCTGTGAGGAAGATGAAAACAATGATGATGATGATGATAAGTGAAGTGTCGACCACATGTGTCCACCTGCGCTGCTCACCGTGATCAGCACTCACCTCCTCATCCTCTTCATTAGCAACGTAACACGAGAATCCTCCAAACTCTGACTGCCAGTCTATCGAACAGAACATACAATAACAGTCACAATATTGATTGACAAAAAATTCTGTGTGTATGTGTGAGTGTATGTGTATGTGTGTGTTTGTGTGTGTGTGTGCGCACTCACCTGCACAGCCAAAAGGTAAAAGAAGATCCAGAGCGTACTCTGCTCGTGCTGCCTCTCCATCATGCAACAGAGTGTAGGCGCCATGAGACCATCGACGCAGTTCACCACAACATACAGGTGTGCTCAGCTCTGAGGAAACACACACACACACACACACAGTCAAAACAAAAGCAAAGTTGTACAAACCTGTCGACACTACCTCGATCTGACACACACCCTTCTCCCTGTTTCCATTTGCTGATGGAGATTCCGTTGAAGATGACGTGGCTTCTGCCTCCCCTGCTTCCTCTTGCTCCCCCTTCTTTTCTCTCTCCTCATCTTTCTTCTCATCGTCATCATCAGCGGGACACAGGAAGTGCAATCGAAGGCCGGTGAAGTTGGAGAGGAGCAGAAAGAAGGCCTCTGAACGAAGCAGCTCCCAGCATGCGCTCACACACTGAGGCACGGTGTCCAGAGAAGCTGCTTCGTAGCATCTGAATGCACGCACACAGATAAAGTTCACGCTATCAGTCTTTAAAATACACCCTCCATCACACACTAGTGTTAACAAGAAAATGATCCCACCTCTTATTGGGCGGACCTCTCCTTGTCCACTGAATCTGAGAGAGTCGCAGTGCTTCACCAACCGCCCTGAACTTCTCCTCCTGAAGACGAACACACAATCGGCCAACAAGAACTCGTGGACATAAGCGAGCAAGAGAAAATGGGGAAGACACTGACCTTCAGAAAGTCTTTTAGCTGAATTTCAGAGCTGTCTTCAAACTCCTCCTGGATCTGTTCTTGATAGGAAATGTCGAGGTAAATGGGATTGACCCACTCCAGCAGCAGAGTCTCCTGTCATCAACACATAAACAAGAATATAGACTGTACGCTAAAGGATTGTCTGACATTTGGGAAATACACTTATTTGATTTCTTTGCATGGGGCCCATGGAATCAATGCTATGCTCACATCCGTTAAATAGGAGGAGTGTTCGCTCAACCATCTGACACAACATGTTAATCATTGCGCTTAAGAGGTGCAAGTGGGAGTCATTTTAACTGGTAGGTAGAAATGATCTTTTGAATAAATAAGGACATTTATCGACATTCCATTGTTTCCAATCTTTATGCTAAGAAAGTGATTCTCAATTTGAGGGTCCTGGCTGCCACGGGGGGGTTGCAAGATAATTTCCAGGGGTCGGCAGATGGTTGTGGAGAAAAAAGTAATATAATATATTTGAAATAAATTCACATATTTTTGACAGTTTTTTACCTCAAATGGAATTATTCTTCTCTTTGTGGACTAAGCAAATTTCTTGAGAGGAGGTAAATCAAGCCTCATTCCTAGTAAGAAAAGGTTGTGTGCACCGGCCTGATTTCACTGGAGGGTCATGAATCGAAAAGGTTGAGAACGACTGTGCAAAGCTAACTGACTGCTGGCATCAGCTTAATAATTAATGTACAGATGTGAGTGGTATCGATCATCTCATTGCAAGACAGAAGATCATGTGTTTCCCCAATATAATTTACTAATGCTGTTGCCATGGAGATTGTGAAATAACACTGTGTATATAAATTTGAACAAACTCACATCTCTTGGTAGGTGTGGACTCCTCGGGAGGGTTGGCTCTACGTGGCGAGGCGGACGCTCCAGAGACGGTCCATGAAACCAGCCGCTCAGAGACAGACGACACTTATCCTGTGACAAAACTTCTGACACCTGCAAAACAACAACACAAGCTCTAGATTTTCAATCACAATCTCTTCTGGTGCAACAGACATTTACAGGGTTTCTACAGGCTTCACCAAGTTGAACTTAAAAACCATTAATCTCATATAGGACACAATTTTAATACTATTTCATGGTCATATCAGCCGAGGTATGATCGATATAAATGAAAAATGTATGATTGGCCTAAAAGGATCTACTAACGTTAAAATAGACTTCAATGTCTTTCTATTAATCCTATTAATGTTATTAATTATTCATTAAACATGATCTGGACCTGCTTAAGACAAAGGAAATGTATGGATGTATGGATGCATAGAAAACTATTATTGGTGATTACAGGTGATTAGACATAAGAAAGCAATATAAAATGGTCTGTCATAGGATTGTGTAAGACCTGCAGAGACCCTGAATACAAACACCAGAGTTCTTTTTCTTACTTGGTGAAATGACACCGGAGAAACTTCAAAAAGGACAAGCGAGTTCCATGAGGGTACGAGCGACTTCACTATACTCTGTGGCTGGAAATTACCTGATGACAGAGATGAAATATACGTACAAGACTTATGATGTCTAAACACGAGGGAAGAAACACACCCATAACATCAGAAACTCACCATCTGTTGTGTAAAGATCAAGCGTTCCCCCATCGCTGCTTTGCCACGGCGGCACAAGATACAGAATGAAAGCGACGCGCCTTCCCTCCAACTCATCATCGTGACACAACAGAACATCTAGAGAGACGACAGAATGAAAAAAAAAATACGTTTATTCATCAAAAGTGTCTAAAATATATATCAGTCCTTCCTCTTGGAGTTTGAGCACCAGGCTCACCTGTGTACTCATATCTGGCACAAGAAATATCCACTGTGGGCTCCAGTTCAACCCCCAACACTTCACCAAGCCACGAGCGGAAACGCCCAAACAGCGCTGATCTGAAAACAAAGACAGAAAAATATATACACTACAATTCACTGTGCAATACTTTTACGTGTCCTATGAGGAAGCTGAACCTTTAACATTTTATAAAAGGAGACATTTACTCAGGCTCAGCACACAGACAGGTTGTTCTACTGCCTGACAGCCTAACATGACATTTTGTTGTGACATAAATAATAGATGATGACAAGCAGAGGCCGTTATTGTGCATTTAATTATGACGTCTATGCTCCGGGGCTGTATTTCTGCAGTAGGTGTTGTGCCATTTAATAACAAATAATTATCAAGAAGAAATTACACATTGCAGTCTCTGCACTGCAAACACAGCTGATCATATACATGATGAAAAATCTGCACATTGCATCTAAATAAAGGTTCGTTATATTTGTATCTGCTGTATGAGACTACTGCTTGATTTCTTTCTTGCTCTTGACTCTGATACTGAACCTCATGGCAGGACTGTAAACCCTCACTGCTCCAGATTTCAGTTTCTATTATTTCTATTTCAAAAGCAGCTTTGTTTCTTGTCATTTGTTTAAACTCTCATCAACACTGTTTTGACAGTCAGCACTGTAACCTTTCCTTTGTCTTATTCTCTATACAGGTTTTCACTGACTGTGTTGTGAGCTGCAGCTGAATCACTTCTCCCTTATATTCCTGCACCATCCCAGTGTTGATGTTAACTTTGATCATCATCACCTTGAATAAATGAACACAATATACTAATTGGGTGACAGAGGTAAACTCTGGCTCCACCTGGTGGAGCTGATACGTAAACCTTAGAATGTCTCACTACCCTTTGGGCAACATTTACACTTTATTAAAAAAGAAAAAGACCTTTTGTCATCATGAAGACAGACAATTATGTACAAACAACAATGATAAAACAAGTGACAATATAAAAGAACATTAAAAACAACATAAAAACAACAGGCTCATTCACAAGTTTGTCTTGCACACAAAAAGAGTTCTTGTCGTAGCCTCTCTGACAATTGGATGTCACAGTTTATGAAATTGAGGCGCTTGGAACAATGTATTTGGGGTGTACTTTGACTTTTTTGTTTGTCCCATCCCCTAACATAGAGGAGACTGGGTTTATTACGTATACTGCAGCCAGCAACTAGGGGGTATTTGAGACCCTTTAACTTCAGTTTAGGGGAGCAGTCTTGTCCTTCATCTTTAATTACAGTCTATTTATCCACACATTTATCCAGCACAAGCCATGTCTCACCTCAGGCCGGCGATATGTGGCTCTGTTCTCTTCTTTAAGTCTTCTGACTGGATGGAAACAACAACAAAGTGGAGGGAACATCAGATAACGACACAAACCCACTGGAATAAATCTCCGATAGTTACCTGTTTAAATTTGTAGAGATCATTTGACTTCTCGTGGAAGTTCAGCGCCAGCAGTTCTCTCTGCAGGTTTTCTACAAAGGTCTCGCTGCCGAGGAAGTTCTTGATGACACAGTGAGGGAAAGGTTGGCAGTCCAACTCCAGATCCCCTGTATAAAAAATAAATAAAAATAATGTGGCCAACTGAGCTGTTCACAAATAATTATAGTTTGAAATATATCCGCTACATTCTCTGAACATCTTGAAAATACTCCTCAAACACCACCCGATCACCAAGGCCTTTGGCCTCAGTTAACAGTCCACTCTGCCATTAGTGCTGTTTATTTCTGTCCAGTTTGTGTTGATTCTTTTCTTTTTACTTTTGTCCCTAGTGATACATGTAAAGTGTCCTTGGGTCTCTTGAAAGGCATTATATGAATTCGAGTTATTATTATTAATTATTATTAATGAACACCCATGGAGGATTATGGACTGATGTGTTTGACATAACTTTCCACCAACATCAAAACAAAGTGAGGGAATGTGTTTTGGAAGAAGAGTAGTGTTTCCTATCGGGACCAAAGTCTGGCCCTTATGAGGCTAAACTTAATCTCTGAGGTCCTGGTTAAGGTTAGAGATCAGATGTGAATTGTGCTAATAGTTTAAGGTTAGGGTTAGGCAGGAGTTGGTGATGGTAAAGGTTAGGGATAAGGTTTAAGTTTGGCTGTCCACAATGAATGGAAGTGCACAAACCTGAGTGTGTGTGTTCCTGCACTTATATCTTTGTGAGGACCATTTTAAGCCTTAAGACCCTCCAGAGCGAGGACATTTTTGGAAAATGAGGACATTTTGACCAGTCCTCCTTTTCCAATGGGTTGTTTGAGGGTTAACACTTGGTTTTAGGTCAGGCATTTACCTTGGATGGTTAAGGTTAGGGTTTAGGGCTCGGGAATGAGGGTTTTGTGTGTTGTTATTAGAAAGGAAGAAGAAAAAGAAAAACTCGTTGTTTGATATAATCCTGATTAATCCGTCATGAGTGCAGACCCGCAGCAGCAGGACAGGATGTCTTGTGGACTTCTGTTTACTTGTTTACTTGTTTACACCTCACCCAGGCTGCAGCGGCTCTTCCGGCTCCACGCCTCCTTCACGGCTCCCCTCACCTGCTCGTCCTCCAGCACTGAGCCCAGCTCCGCTCTCTCTTCGCTCCTCTTCTGCCTCCTCTTCCTCTCTGCGTCCCCGCCACCGTCCCGACGTCGTTTGGAAGCCATCGTGCTCACCAGCCGCAGCTGAAACCTGCGGAACACGCAGTTTGAGTGTGCGTGCGTGTGTCAGTGAAGTGGACGTCGCTGCTAAATGACGTGAGAGTCTATGTTTCTGTTTGCCCCGAGTACAGACTGTCAGGCTAACTGGAGAACCACGTGGAGATACTAATGCTACATGTTGGGCTGTGGCTGAAATGAAAAGTGTGTGTTAAAGCTGTCCTTATGGAAGTGGAAAAAAAGTGATTTACTATAATAGATCATTGTATTTGCTTGTGTTGATCCGTTAGGGTTAAGCCCCCAATGAACAGATGGGAAGATGGAACTAAATATAATTGCAAAATATTTAGTGACTGAAGAGAAGACCCTGAAATCCTTTTCTTTATTTAACTTACTCTTGGTTAAAATCACACTTGGTTATGTGATTTTCTTTTTTCTATCTGTTACGCTGTTAAAAATGACAGTAATTCAGCAACTGAAAAAGATATCAAGTTCTACATGAATCTTAAAAACCATAAAAATATCATACATGTAATTGTTAAAACATATTTGTGGCATATATTGTGAGAGCATCCTCACTATATGTGATGCAGCTGTAGTCATATAAAACTGAAAAAGCTTCAGTTGTGTAAATGCATCCAGCGATTGGCTCAGGCTTCCAAGATGGACAAGTGCAAACAGCAAGTTTGTGGTTGGCAATGTTTCCACTTTTCATGTTGTGCTGATGGATTTTATTATACAAACTGTTTTGAATAACCTACTAAAAAAAAACCTTGACACTATCTTGTTTTTGGAAACACTTGAAGAACAAATTGCTTGTGTTTTTAATCTGATTGTATATTTTTGTTCTGTATTTAACCATTTATTGATGTATTTTTATAGTGATATGAACCCATGAGTCTGAAATAAAGCTTAACAAACTTTACCTTGGGTGATTTAAGCATATGTAGAAGACAATATATTGGGGGCCTCAGCGTTTCTGGGTTCCCAGCGCAGTTGCTTGTTTTATCAGGTCAGCTTAAGATAAATGTTTTTTCAATGTAACATTTCACATTAGGACAGATGAAGTGAAAATATATTTACATGTGCAGGGCAGCAAAGCAAGCATGTGGTGGATCTTTGTTCAGTTAATACAGTTATTTGTTTTCATCTAAAATATGTAGAATACATTATAATAACGTTGCCTGGTTTGTTTGTGTGACTCCAGGACCCCACGACCCTGAACATAAGCGGTTTAGAAAAAGGATGGATACTGTATCATACGGGCCACATTCAGGAAGTGAGCAAACACTCAATTTAATTAACCTACATAAAAAACACGACCCTCGTGCTTCAGGGGCCACAGAAAGGCCTCTGCTCGTAGGTAACGTGTTTTTTTTCTACAAATGTCTTTTCATTCCTCATACAGTAATTTCAACAATGCGTCCAGTCAGGCTTTCCAAAGCACATCAGCGTGTGCGGCAATCTGACCTTTCAATTTTGTGTTGCAGTTAAAGACAATTCCACAGGATAATAAAAAATATGAGTGAAATAATCACAGTGCTGGTGATATTTTGCCATTTTACCGAGTGTGGATGTAAATGAAAAATGTTAGAATTAGTATTTGAATGTTACACAGTACATATCTAACATTAACTGAGGTATAACCAAATGATAAGGTATCTGCCCTTCTTTTCTGTGTTTTATCAGTACTACTTAAAAATCACTTTCTGAAAAGGGATTTATATAATAATTTTTGAAGCTTTGCATCAGTCAGCGACTCTGAGAACTTTATAAAAAACACACTCAAAGGACTGCTTTATTAAAAGAAAAAAAAAACACATCATTATTACAGGTTAAAACAACAGGAAACTCAATTTTGTATTTTGTTTAATCACACTGACCTCCTGAGACAACATAAAATCAGATCGTGAACAAACTGGAATAAGCACTCAGATACCACAAAAGCTAGCAGTTTCTTTCTGATAAAAAAAAAAACCATACACATGACATTTTCTTCTAACAGTATAAACACCCCCATGGACTGTAAATATACCTGACATGACAAGTATATTTCTTCTGTCAAAGTTGAGCCAGAGACGAGTCTCTTTCATCACATTGCTCTTCTATGTTTAAGCTTCACTCAGACGGGGCTGCACTCACAGAGACAGCCAGATGGGACTCTTGCTCACTCACGTTAGTTGTAGATGAAGTTGAACCTGTAAAAAGCAGTTTTTGGTAAGAGACGACCATCTTTTTTTTTTAACTCTTGCAGGAGTCCAGTGTTACACTGTATTTCTCTGTAATACATTGTTTCCCCTTTGAGCAAATTTAGTCAAAAAAAAAAAAAGAAGAAAGAAATACATCTGCACACCTGAACGTGTGACTGGTGCATCAAAGGACAACTTGAATTAAAGTAACAAACACTCACACTTTTATGTGCTGCTGGTTCATTTCATATAAACAGGATAACTTTTTTATTTTTTTATCTGCAAACTCAAGTCTTCTTTTTTTCTTTCTGGCCTGATGTGTTGCAGGTTTAGTTACTCAATTTTAAAAGGTCTCCAGTGTTGTGTTCAGAAATATCAGCAGGATGGATATCAGTCTGTAGAGCTGTAGGCTCCGTGCCACCCTGCTGTCCACAGTTGAACCTTAGACATAATAAAGTGCTTTCTCAGATTTTGCCACTGAGTCTTTTCCAGTTAAATTGAGGAATTTTTTACAATCACTAAATTCATGCATAAGACACAAAGATTACCTGCTCAGTAGCTGCGGTAGACTGGAAATGATCGGTCCATATCCAGGAGCATTGTCATACAGTTCAAACAATGGTGCTGCCACCAGTTTGTAGTTCTTGGGGACAGCAAACAGCGCTGTAGAAACATGAAGCAAATATTTCGAAAACAAGAAGGAATAATACATGTGAACCATTTAGATCTATTAAACTTCAGTAATATAACAAGTTAAATAGTAATATATTTACCCTTTTCCTGCAGCTGGACAAGAAACAGTTTCTTATGCTCCTTGGGTTTGGTGATGTGAGCTGGAATGTAGGGGTACTGCAAACAGAAAAATTGTATTAATGTGAAAACATCTGTTAAAATGGTTACTTCCTCCCTTAAAACTTCCTACTGTCGATGTTGTCACTAACCTGTGGAGGCTCGAAGTTGGGACGCCACCAGTTTCCGATGCAGTCGTCAATCACCCAGTCCTGCTTCACCCCGTCCTGTCGCCCAAGGATCTAAAATTCAAATTAAAGTTTGAAGTAAAACACCACAATCATCACAGCAACAACAAGCCTAAACTGCAGTGTGACGTAGCTACCTCAGTCATCAGACGCTTCAGACCCTCCACCTCATCTTCTCCAGCACTCAGCTCTCCACCAGGCCTGCAGGAGTGACGCAAACTCTCACATGATTGTTCAATTTAAAAAAAACTAAAAAAAACACACTTCTGCCAATTATTACAGGAGCCTCTGAGGATACTCACAGTTTAAAGAAGGTGGTGCCCAGCTGTAGAAGCAACACATGAGGCAGCCTGTGTTCATGAACAATGAGGACACCCTCGACTGTCCTTCGCATTCCCATTTTATCAAACTCCTCCCGCATCCTCTGGAACCGGGCTGCCACTGAACTGTCCTTCTCATACAGAGGCTCCTTGGTGCCGAATGTGTAGTTGGTGAGAGGATATCTGAAGCAAAAATACACACATGAGAAGTCTTAATAAGCAATCAAAAATAAAGCTGTATTACACAGAATTGCAAGGGTTGCATTTATTGAGAAACACACTGTTACATGCTTTACTTTACATGCAAGGTGACATTTATAAATGACTTGTTTTGCCCACCAACAGTAGGAAAGGGAATTTTTTTACTTTGATTTCATAGACAGAGTAAACAAGAAAATGTTCCCATTTGAAAGATGAAAATAATGTTTTTAGGAACATTCACAAACAATTAATGAGCTCATGGCAATGTGATTTTTCAACTTGTTTTTTCAGTTCAACAATGAATAATTTAAACAATTGTTAATTGGGGCCATCATTTCAATCACCATTGTATAATTTTCTACAATATGTTAGAAAAGAAAAGTTGATAAAAAAGTGTCAAACTGTATTAAATCATCCAATATGCTACTTTTCTCAAATGTCCTACTCCCTCTCCTACGAGAAATACTCTATTTACAATTCACACCGGTACCTGTCCCACTGTGACATTTCTAAATGTCTGAAAATAGCTATATTGTTACACACCACCATCTGGTATTTTAAACACGGAACAATCCAATGGTTATTCATGTTAACACTTTCCAATTAAATGATTTAAGAGCTAATTGAGCTGCTATCGTTTGTTCTTCTATCCTCTCCTGCCGGTGGACGCTGCACAGTGAGCACCGGGCCCATGCAGACAGTGGTGCCGGCTTCAGGTGTGTTATTCTGGCCTCATGGACTCACAGGTTGATGGTCCTCTCCAGGGTGAGCGGTTTCGCGGGCCCGCTGAGGTACTTGTTCCCGAACTGAACGGCACCACCGCGCGGCCAGCCGGCGGCCGAACGACTGGGAGGCACCACGGACATCTCTGCGGAGAGCAGGGCGAGACGGAAGCCTGCTGCGAGGGTGCGTCGAGCGGTGGTGGGTTAAAAACTCACTGGATTATCGAAAGAGCCAAACAAAAGCCAAATCTTTGCGCACAGTCCAAAAACAATTGCTCCACCGTCCTTTCCCTCCGTTCTCCTTTTCCGGGTGAGGTACCGTCTTCCGGTGGGATATCTCCTCCAGCGACACCTGCTGGTCCGGAGGATGAACAGCCAAACAGGCCCCATAAATACCGCGGCCGAGACAGCTCAAGGAAGTGCGTCTTAATAAAACACATGCAAATAGGAAAAACTAACTTCAATTTGAAGACACGTGCTCTGCAAAAAACTGTATTTTCATGTGTGGTTAAGTCTTATATTGGAACACCACACATATATGTATGTATATTCATATACAAGAGCTGAGACCTATAGTCAGTTGATAGAAATGAATCTGCAAATATTTATTTTTTCATTGAGAAATAATCATGTTTGTTGGAACAAACAGCTGCTTGTGAGCTGTAATGTGAGGAGTTAAACCATTTCTTGTTAATATCGCAGTAAACTCAGTATCTTTGAGAACCCCTGGAACCAAACATGTCATCTGAAGACATCACCTTTTGTGTGAAGTTATAAGAGGTATTTTTCATGGATTTCTACTATTTTATTGACGTCCATCAAAATGAAAAAAATATTGTCAAAATAATCATGCAGAGGACAGACAGACTGGGTCTATTTGCTCCCCATTGAACAATGCTGGTATGTGTGTGTTTATAATTGCTGAGCCCTGATCTCTCTTATAAATAATATGTTTGGGAAAGTTAAAGCTTTTTATGTCACTGAATCACCCACAAAAAAACAGGCTTATTACATAACTGTGAAATTCATCACCCTCACTAGAAACTGCATCCTTGCCACAAACACTGTTCATCTCAGGGAAAGTTGCAACACTCTCTTTTGCTGGGCATAAAGAGCATATAGGGACATAAATCCCTTTTTTAAAAGGAAGAGAGGAGTGTACACAGACATAGCACAGTTTATAAATAAAAGAGCATGTAGGGACAGTTATTTAAAAAACTTCTCTGTGCTTTGTCCATTTACACTCCTCTCTTCCTCTACACCCTTCGTGATTTTACCAGGTTGTCTGGTTATCAACATTAACAAGACCAACATTGACAGCAGGAACAACCTTCATTTTATCCTGTACCACAGGCTTTGAGTTCTGAAATATTAAACACATTCAGCTACAACTGAACAGTATAGAATTGGTTTGGATAAAAATATGACTGTGTTTTTTCAGAATTACTTCCATTTCAGGGCTCAGATACAAAAAAACATTTGACCTAGATATTTTCAAACAAATTCCTTAACCTTAGAAACAATGGTATGGTAGATAAATCCTTACTCATGCTTATGAGCTTTTTCCAGAGCTTTCAGACTACTCAAATCTGGCACCTTTGTGAGGAGAGACAACAATGTGAGAGCAGCTATGATACCAGCGTAGTTATCTCCATGAGCTCCAGAAACCTCCTGCAAGTATCTTGGGGTTTAGATTTTCAAGTGAAAATACATTAATTTGTTGGAAATCACATATTCACACATAAAAAACAAACAGAGAGAATGAATCAATTCAATATTCCATTTAATAGTCATATCTATGTCTCTTATCCATCTATTGTAAACATGGTGTAATTTACCACAGTAGTTGTTTTATGGTACATAATCATACGTGCAATGCAAAAAAGTCAAACAGAAGTTAAAAAAAGGACAAAGACACTGCTGGATTTGTTGATTACATCACACCAAGGAGATCTCAGTTCTTTGGTCCAGTGGCCCACCCTGTGTGGTGTGCTGCAGTAATGTGGTGGTCCCTGTGGGAAGTGCCATGATTCATCCCCCCCTCTCTTTACTGTGGCAACTCCTGTCGCTGTCACAGTAGTTGGTCCCGTATTTAGCAATTTTTTTCAATTACTTCTCGCTTGTTGACTTTGTTTCCTCTTGTTTTGGATCCTCAACTACTCCCTCTTCTACTTCTCCCTCTTTGACTTCTACCTCATCACTCACCTCACACCACTCACCCTCTTTCCCCGATAGAGGTTCAGCCACTGCGTCTTCTTCAGCTTTCTCACTTTCTTCCTGCACTTCTTTCCTTGTTTCTTCACTGCTGACCAACGTTGGTTTTTCATGCCTCTTCTCACCATCAACAACTTCCTTTTCCTCATCCATTTCAGTCTGTTTGCTCTTTTGAACCATCTCAACCTTCTCATCTGCCACTGGGAGAAAAAAATATCACAAAACACATCATCCAACATGCATGTACATACATACATATTAAAGCAGAGAAATATGTCACATGCTCAAAGAAAACATACCTGTGCTCATTTCTGCGGGATCTGCACTGGGTTGTTCTTCAGGAGATGTCTGTAGATCCTTATCTTGGCATGGACAATCATTAGAGGGGGCTGGACTGGTCAAATGTTGAGAAGTAGCACTTGAGCTATCACTAACATAGATCATTGGGGTTGTGGGGATAGTGAGTGTAGTGGTGGCATTGTTAAAATAATCTGGGTCTGAGTCAGTCGACAGTGTGGAGCTAACTGCAGCTGTGGTTGCTGAGCTGCTGGTGGGAGTGGTTTCTGCATGGTTTAAAGTGGTGGTGGTGGAAGTGGTGTCTGTGGGGGTCGTTCCAACACAAGATGTAGAGGGAACACATATGTCAGTGGGGCTAGGAATGACTGGGTGAGTAATGGTGGAAGCAGAGATGGAGTTGATGCAGTCATTTGGAGTTGGGCTTCTAGTGGTGGTGGTAGAGGTGGAGGTGGTGGGAGGAGGGGCAGCACAGATCAGGGCGGGGGAAGTGGTAACGGGGGCATCAGGTGAGATAGTAGATGTGATGGCATCATAGGAGTTTGATGTTGGAGATGTAGTTTCGGTAAATGATGAATGTAAAGTCACACAGCAGGAAGAGGTGACCAAAGTGGAATCATCACTAGCTTCAGTTACTGAATTGGTGGTGGTGGACAAGCATGATGGTGCAGTTGATGTGCTGGTGGAGGGTGAAGCAGCTGTGCTGTTGACAGAAATAGCCGCGTCACCAGGAGATGCATCAACTGAGAGAATACCATTTAGCTCTGGCAAAGTCGATATAGGCGACAGATTTGGCAATGCTGCGGAAACTGAACTTCCACTAATGGGAACAGAGACAGATTCCATGGAGGTAATGGAGGGCGTAGTTGTTGTCGTTAGATCGGAAGTGACAGAGGGGCTCGGAGGGATGGACACAGAGGGAGTGGAAATAACTGAGACAGTGGCAGGGGGATCGGTGGGTGTAGTGGTGCTTGTGAGGGTTGTTGGGGTGGTGGTGGTGGGCAGTGTGGTTGTAGCTACACTACCCTCTGAGGCTGTGCTGTCAAGCTCTGTAGCATTTGTGGGTGTTGTAGCTGCTGCAGTAGTGTTAACAGAGTCAGTGCATATATCTGTGTCAGAGGGAGTTACAGTACTTGAAGGGGAAAGTGAGTCGGGGATTGAATCTGAGATTGTCGGAACAGTAGGAATGGTGGTAGCAGTGGGGGCGGGAGGAGGAGACGGGGCTGCAGTTGGACTGAGTTTAGTGGGCGTGTTCGCCTCCCCTTCCTGTATTTGGGCCAGCTCGTTCTCAGGTGTGTTGCGGCCAGATGTTGTGGGGGGTGGACCTGGCTTGATGACTGGCTTTGGGAGCAGAGCAGGTTTCCCAGCTGACTCGTGTGCTGACACACTTGGTCGAATTTGATGCCTTGTATCTACAGAATGAAAAATGTTGAAACGATTTAGCGTCTTCTACACTGCACATATAAGAGCTGTTTTTTGTGTTTGCATGTTTTTACCTGAGGACGCAGACATTGTTCGAGGTTTTGAGAAAGAAGCAGATGGCTCAGGTTTACTGTCAATGATGGTTCCTGCGACACAAAGATGATTTACATCGTATTTCACCAGCAGAATTAAGTCCTTATTTTGTCCTTATAATAAATGGAGGAAGGTCAAATACTCCTGCGTGTCTTATCAGCACAGTGTCTGAAATATTAAATCTTTTTAAAGGAGAATCGATCCATGTTAAAAAGTCTCTCCTTTTGATATAAATCCCTGACATTACACCTAATAACATAAGCTGGAGCAGAGAAAAGCCCAGTAATGATTATAAATATAAAAATGTTATTATAAATTAATTGGTGGAACAATTTCCCATTCTACTAAAATATTTAAATGTTTCAAACAACATATTATTATACAATATAAAAAAGTTAGGGTATGCACCTCTGATGATTTTCATTCTTGTTAGAGTCTATGTGGTAATTTTGTGGACTTTTTTTTAAACATGTAAATAATTGAACCCATATTTCCACTTAGGTTTTTCTACAAAAGTAAAAACTAAAACAACTTAAAGAAAGGATGTTGAAAATGTCTGCTATAGCCTCATACTTTGATCTTTGTGCTGAGTTTAGCAAAATACTTAAATTGATGTAAAGGGAATTATGATTATAATTCCACTGCGGACACCAATGGCTTGATATTAAAAATCAAATATATAAATGGACGTACCTTCAGATTCTGCTTTTTTCATCTCTCCCTCCTGATTCTACGAAATAGAAATATGTAAGGTAACACTTGATGACTCCTACAGTATACACATGTCAATTTAGAAACAAACATTCTCACACCTGTGTCTCTCCTGGTGGGGGTTTGGAAACTCCAATACGTTGAAGCATGAGATGGAGTTTCTGTTCAAAACTATTCTGGCCTTCGAATTGTTTCTGAAATCAGCAACAGAAGAGTAATAAGTGTTTTTTCAAAAATCATCTACTGATCTGAATGCATATAACTTCAACTCACCTTTGCAGTGTTTCTGGCATTGGTAGACCCTGCAGCTGCTGATCCAGAAAGCAGAATGAGAGATTGGGACTTCCCCTCTCTGAGAGCTCGGCGGGGAGGTGCCGCATCACCTCTCAATAGGGGAGCACCAGAAACAGGTGTCTCCTGAAGAGCCGTCTCTCCGTCTTTCGCTTTTTCCTTTTCATTTTCCTTGTCAAGTTCCTTTACTCTGTCCTTATCTTTCTCTGCTCTGGCGACCTCCCTGAGTGGGCGAATGAAATCAGCGATGGAGGCCTTTTTGGGGCGCCCCTCCTGGCTTGTCTCTGATTTCAGACCTCGTCTCTTTTTGAGTGTGAAGAAATCACCAAGCTTCCTCCTTAGTGTTTTCGTCTGGGGTGGACAAGGGGCGGAGCTGGCAGGAGCCACTTCGTGCACTGTGATGGTTTCCTCATCCTGATTTTTCCTACAAAAAGGATTATATATATATAAAATCTAAACATATTCAGTGGCACAGTTTGTTAAAGCAGTATAGTTTATAGCTAGCTCAGCTAAATGAAGGGACAATAAAGATAATGTCATGTGGCAGCTGTGATACTCACAGTGTATCAGTAGGAAGTACCCTCTTAGTAAAGAACTCTTCAACTCCTTCATCCACTCGCCCCATGAGCTCGAGGACTTCATGTTCACTCTCGATTATTGTCTCCTGGTTACCACACACAGAACAGACATTTTACACCAAAGATCAAACAAACTTATGCTGAAGAGCAACTTGCATCATATGTAACTTTACGTTTCATAACTCTCACCTCTGAAAAACCCACACACTCTGGCCTAGTCTCCTCTTCCTCTATAGGTGTATTTTGGTTTAATCTCTCATGCAGTCATGATACAAACCAGCCACCTGGGAGTCAGTTGCTCAGTAACGTACAATGGGGGGGCGTCTCTGGATTTTGCATGAGGTATGAAAGCAAGATAACTCATTTTGCCAATCAAGGTAATGTGATATCACAATTGCCGCTGTTCTGTGTTGCATCATCCTGATCATATTAACATCTGTGCCCACAAGTGGCAATAAAAGCCAGGAGGTTGACTGCAGAACACAAATTTAGCAGAAGTCACCGATATATGATCTCCTGTCAGGAGAATTGCCTTGCATTTTGTCTCCCCGGCCATTTGTGGCCAAGGGAGTGACTCTATGTCTACAGCCTAATAGCTCTGTGACAACACGATCAGCTCAGTGAAAAATGGAGATGATCACACACACTCTACATTTTGACACAAGCCTATTGAAAAAAATTAAAAAATAAATGCCCCTAGCTTTTTTCCAATGTGAGCAAGAAAAGACATTCAAACCAGAGTACCACCCGCTCTCCTACACAGTCATCGTGCTCTTTTACATAGAAAATACCAAGTGTGGGTTCTTCAAACTGCTGTTGACCGGTACAATAGGACTGCCTCATTCAAGCAGGGACCAGGCATCTTTTACTGCTCTCCCCCTCCATCCTTCCCTTCCCCCTGCTTCTCCCCTCTGTACCCTATTGCATCTACCCCCCCCCCCCCTCTCTTTCTCTCTCTCTTCCACCACCTTTCCCCCAACCTCACACTCCATTTTTTTCAAAAATAAAACCCTCTGTGATCCTCCTTCACAGTACCTGTGGTCTGCTGGGACGATAGTTCAGTTTTTGTCGATGAGGTCTCGGTCTGCTCTGGGTGTAGTGCCTGAGCGCTGGTCCGCCCAATGGCAGCTCCATTGGGGAGACACGGCACGCTGTTGCCGTGGAGCTCTGTTGCCGTGGCTCTGTTGCTGAGGCACCGTTGCTAAGAGCACAAGCACCAGCAGTATGTAATGCTTCCACACTGATGTGGGAGGGGCCAGGCCGGGCTAGACTGACAGATCTGACAACAGAGCCTCGCCTTTCTCTGCCCCCTCCCCTCTGAGTGGAAAACCATGAGAGAAAGATGGTGATAAAATAAGAAGAGGAAGAAAGAGAGGAGCACAATGACCTCACCGACGTTTGTTTCATCCATGCATCCTGGAACATCCATGTGCACATGTATGGACACACTGCAGAGGAAAGAGCTGAAATGGACAAAATGTTCTATTGGTTATGTAACAAATTAATAATTTATTTTATATGCGGAAAAGATGCTCTGAAATGCTGTAAGTGTCAAGTTGAACTGGAAGAATGATCCATAACTCAAAAACTGTGCATATATACACACAATCCTATTCTATCAGTAAATGTCGGAGCAAAATAGGTCAACGATACTCGAAGAAACTGCCATAAAATAACTAAATAGCCATTAGAGGATTGTTAGTATCATTTCTAGTGAATTGTAAGTTCTCACACACACACACACACACACACACACACACACACACAACACCACCACCACCAGCTTCTATGTACCCTGATCTACTACTAATTCACCTATAGGCTTGTGTTGCCTAGTTAAAAGCTTCTTTGGCAGATCAGAAAATGCTTTCAATCATTCATCACTGATTTGAAACAGTTTGATTAACCAAAATATTTCTCTATGAGGATCATACTTTTGTCCTGTCTGTCTCTTGAAGTTTTTACATTTTTGAGGGAAAAGACATGTGGACTTCTACTTTTCTCAGCGGTTTCCCCCTAAACCCAACACCCCAGAAATAAATTATTTTCCACCTATGAAATCTTGTCAGCTTTTCCACATGGAGTAATATGACATCAGCTATTTGACTAATTGTAACCTAAAAGGAAAAAATGTAGGCCATTTCAAAAAGACTAAAATCTATAAAAGTCACCATATCACCATAGTAACACTGCCATTCTCATGTTAATTAGCTCTTGCCTGCTTGTTAATATGCTCCTGTGTCCCTGTGAACTCACCCAATTCAAATCAGTGAACGTAAACTAAATAACTCGCTTTAACATTTGACAGTTTAACACCACCAACAACAAAAAGTGAACATTACAACATTCGTAAAGGCAGGATGAACTGAAAGTCGTGTTATGTCACATTAGTTGTAGGTAAGCCTAAGCCTTCACTCTAAGAACTCTATTTCAAAAGGGAAATAGTTGATTTTTAGGCCATGTGTAAAATTTATAATATAATATATATAATTTTCCAGAAATTAAATTGAATTATATTCCCACAAGTGACATATGGGAACATGTGTGTGTGTGTGTTTGTTCACTTTTGTTACCTCTTCAGCTCTTCAGGATCTTCTCCAGCTCAAACACTGACTTTGTGAGGGCCAGTCATTTCAAGGTTCTGGTTGGTTGGTCCTTGTGCAGGATGGGAGTAAAATAAAAATCGTGGTTAGGTTAAGGTTAGAGTTTGGCATGAATTGGTCTTATTTAAGGTCAGGGATTAGGCTTTGAAAAGGCTCTACACAATGAATGGAAGTCAATGAAAAGCCCTAAGAGGCATAGCTCTGTGTGTGTGTGTGTGTGTGTGTGTGTGTGTGTGTGTGTGTGTCCCTGTACTTGTATTTTTGTGAGGACGATTTTAAGCATAGACCCTACACGGAACAGTCCTCACCTTTTCAATGGGCTGTTTGAGGGTTAGGACTTGGTTTTAAGGTTAGAATTAGGTTTATGATAGGCACTTAGTTTGGATGGTTAAGGTTAGGGTAAGAATCTAGGGAATGTATTATGTCAATGATATGTCCTCACTAAGATAGAAGTACAAACATGTCCATAGGTGAATTAGTAGTAGAATCAGTGTGTGTGTGTGTGTGTGTGTGTGTGAGAGGCCCGCCCTGCACGTACAGCATTAACACCGCCCTCCTGTGGTTGATGTTCAGAATATCCTCCTCTACTAAAACGAACCTGTATTTTGAGTAAACACTCACTAAGCGGTTGGATCTGAGGTGAGGGAGTCTCGCTCGGCGTTGAGTGAGTCGATCCCTTCATAGAACGAACCATCATACTTGTAGTAACTTGTAGTAACACCAGTAATCGATCGACGGTATCGATCACCCTCGTCATGTTTCCACGCCCCCGGTGGAATTCAAATCTGGCGCCCATCACCCACCGCCTCGACTCCACCACTCCCCTTCTTTCCCTCGGGCGCTGAGTCCGCGCAGCCGCGTCCGCTCCCAGAAGCCGCCATTTTGTGTTAGGCCCACTCCTGTAAAGCGGGAGAAAAATATTAGTCCGCCGCATAGCACCCAGGTGCCGACCACAGCGGGACTGAAGATACCGACCGCGGGAGCCAAGACACCAAACGAATACCAGGAGTGAAAGGAGCCGACGGGAGTAAGTAAAGCCGCTGCTTAGCCTCCTAACACGGGGACGTTTTTGTAGGAGCCGTCGCCGGCCTCTAGGTGTCACGGTCGGGCTTACCGGCCAGGCGGTTGGCGGGGGGTGTTTGTCTCCCTCTATCGTTATCCAAACTGCACTAAATCCCTCTATAAACTGCTGCTCCCTCTCCCAGTTGAGCATTTGGGTGTTTTTTCGGCTGATGTTTCGCGATGTTCGCCCGGGGATGGCTGGATCGACCAGTAGTTGTGTTTAAAGTTAGTTTCGGGCCTGTCGTCCATCTTATCGTGCCCTTTGTTTCCTGTTTTCAGACACAGTCGCGCCTCCCGAGTTAAACAACTATCACGAGTTTAGTAGTTTGCGTCGATCCAATAATATGTTCGTTTACTCGGGTGAAGTGAAAACTAGCGTGAGTAAACTAAACCGTGTGAAATGGATGAGCAAGCGAACGAGGCGTTGGTGGATTGATCGACTGTGTAGTTTGTTATCGGCAAACATGAAGCCATCAGTGTGTGATCAGCACAGATCACACGAAGGAGCTCATCCACTTTTTAAAAGTTCACTGCAGGGTTATACATCACAGCAGAGGTGTTATTCTAACAAAGCACACTTACTCTAGTATTTACTCCTAGTAAACTTAAGTTTTGAAATATGTATACTCCACTTGAGCAATTCGTTTGTGCTACTGTGTACTTCTACTTCGCAATAGCTGAGGAAATAGTATATTTTAAATAGATGTATCTTCTCATTATTAATAAAAATAATAATTATTTTCAGCTACATTGATTAGTCGATTGCCAATGAATTAAATACGATCCATTTTGATGTGTCCCAAAATTGTTATCACGTGGAAAGTATTGGAGTAAATGTACTTAGTTACCCTCCTTGGTATATTAAAGGCATGTAAGTTTATTGTTAGCTGTGGTAGGGAGATAAGGGGTTTGTAGTAGCTCCATATCTCATATAATATCTAAAACACAATCAAATTCACCCAGTTTTGATATAGTAGACACCATTGGTGAATTAAGTCAATATATGCCAAACTAATCAGCAGCCCTTGATGATCTACTGAAGGGGCAGTTAGCAATGATGACCAAAAACACACACATGTTTCTGAGAGATGTTCATAATAAACTATTACCTGTGCCAGTGTATATTTTAACTGTTTAATAATACTTACCTATATATATATATATATATAAACCCAGAGGTGCTTTCCTCAGACTGGCCACTGTAGCACTGAGGTGCTAATCTCTGCTTTCCTGTACAATACCTGAGTGTGTATAAATCAATGGGACACACCGTGTAAGAGAATTGATTCATGTCCTAAATTGTTAATGCTGCTATTTGCACAAAAGAAAGTGTTTTCCTATGTGTTAATGTGTAACACTAATCCATTCTACATGTCCATTTTAATTCTGTCTGTTAATGGTTAACAAGTCTTGGCTATCGGCGTAAACAAGAAAAATGAATATGAACATCTCTAATGTTTCAAATTGCAAACATGAGTCATGCTCACTTTTAAATTATTTTTTTCTTCTTTATTAGGAGTATCCGTTAGCCCGTTGCCATGGAGGGCGAGGTTGTTTCCATGGAGGCTGCTCAGGCTGCTGCTCTGGCTGCAGATGGAAAGGTCCTGCCAGAAGGTGGAGAGGACTTGATACAAGACGCATCTCTAGCTCCACAGGGGGAAGTGGCTGGTAACATGGAGATGATGGTGATGGACGCTCTCGATCCCACTCTGCTCCAAATGAAGACTGAGGTGTTGGAGGGAGGCAGCACAGTCACTGTAACTGGTGGAGACGAGGGTCAGATCATCACGCTTCAGGTTGGTCCAGAACACGCCTTAAACTGGTGTTGGATTATCAGTAACTAATGTCTTGAAATGTCAAGTTAAAATGGTCACTGTTCTTTATAGGTGGTGAACATGGAGGAGCAGGCGGGTGCAGCATTAGGCCTTGGTCAGCTTCAACTGGTTCAAGTACCGGTTACAACATCTGTAGAGGGGCTCCAAGCCACGTATGTTGATGCATCATCTGCTAACAAGGATGCAGAGCCAGTAATCTGTCACACTCTTCCCCTGCCTGAGGGCTTCCAGGTAAGAAACAGCTCTGTGCTGCTGTGTAACGAGATTAGTCATTTTAAATCAACTCGCTAGAGTCTGGGCACAATAAAAATAACTTACATTTTCTTATAGGTGGTTAAAGTAGGTGCCAATGGTGAAGTGGAGACTGTAGAGCATGAGGAGCTTCAGGCAGCCCACGGGGAGCTTCAGGGGACCACAGAAGAAAATGTGGATGAGGGAGAAGCAGAAGAAATGGAGGCACCTGTGACCCAGGAAGATCCAGAATGGACAAAGGACCCAGTCTATCAGCCCATTTCCGCTATCCGGAAAGGAAAGAAAGGAAAAAAGAGCCGCCTACGCTATGCAGAGGGTGATCGTGATATGGATGTTTCTGTGTATGACTTTGAGGAGGATCAGCAGGAAGGGATGCTGTCAGAAGTGAATGCTGAGAAGGTTGTGGGCAACATGAAGCCACCAAAGCCCACCAAGATCAAGAAGAAAGGTTAGACTTTTACAACTTCTTTTAGATTGATGATATAACTTGCTCCAAGATATCTAAATATGGTTGTGAAAGAGTCTTTCTGAATATAGTCCTGAAGAGATGTAGATTTTCACAGTTTTGAATGAGCTGGTTTTCTCCTCTTTTTGTGTCCAGGTGTGAAGAAGACTTTCCAGTGTGAACTGTGTAGCTACACCTGTCCAAGACGCTCCAACCTGGACAGACACATGAAGAGCCACACAGATGAGAGACCACATAAATGTCACTTGTGTGGAAGAGCCTTCAGAACAGTCACACTGCTGAGGAACCACCTCAATACGCACACAGGTAATTCAGAAATCTCTATTTAGACTTTTACACTGAAAATGAAAACATTTTGGGGACATTCGAAATAATTCAAATGAATGTTTAGAATTAAAACTTGCTTTTATGGTACCATTCAGTAGTGTCTGTTCATAGAAGCCCATGTTTACTTGGAACTCATCACCTCTTGTTATTAACAACTCGTGCAAATTGTTTTATTTCCTTTTCTTACACAGGCACACGGCCACATAAATGCACAGACTGTGACATGGCGTTTGTGACCAGCGGTGAGTTGGTGCGTCATCGTCGCTACAAACACACACATGAGAAACCCTTCAAGTGCTCCATGTGTGACTATTGCAGTGTGGAGGTAAGTCATCTGCTTAAAATCAAGTTCATCTCCTCATTTCCTGTGGTGGCCTCTTTTTAATGTTTCTGTCTTGGTCTTCCCAGGTGAGCAAGTTGAAAAGACACATCCGTTCTCACACAGGGGAGCGACCCTTCCAGTGCAGCCTGTGCAGCTACGCTAGTAGAGATACTTACAAGCTGAAGAGACACATGAGGACACATTCGGGTAACACACATCATGTCATGTTGTATAGACATGGTTCCACTCAAGTTTGAGAAGACTGTAGCACTCACTTTATTCCCTCTTCCTCTTTGCAGGTGAGAAGCCATACGAATGCTACATCTGCCATGCCCGTTTCACACAGAGCGGCACCATGAAGATGCACATTCTGCAGAAGCACACAGAGAATGTGGCAAAGTTCCACTGCCCACACTGTGATACTGTCATCGCACGCAAGAGTGACCTTGGTAAGCTGTGTGTCGCCATTTTTACCTGAAACTACATGTCAGAGTATATGACGCCAGTTGTTTCAGTTAAAGCACTGTTGTGTCTTGTTTAAATTTGATAATCTTAGACTGAGGAATCAGGGAAATCCATATGCACCAACATGGAGGGAAATGTTTTTTGTCTTCATCCATACAACAGGCCTGAGTAGTATTTGTCTCTCTGATTGTCATGCTCTTTTTCTCTCAGGTGTTCATTTGCGCAAGCAGCACTCTTTTATCGAGACGGGAAAGAAATGTCGTTACTGTGACGCTGTATTTCACGAGCGCTACGCTCTCATCCAACACCAGAAATCCCACAAGAATGAGAAACGTTTCAAGTGTGACAAGTGTGACTACTGCTGCAGACAGGTGTGTGTCACTTCCCCACCATGTAACACATGTATGATGTTTCGTCATTTTATTTCACTGCCGAATTTGATCTATTGTGCTACAGGAACGCCACATGATAATGCACAAGCGCACGCACACGGGGGAGAAGCCGTTTGCTTGCAGCCAGTGTGAGAAAACATTCCGTCAGAAACAGCTCCTGGACATGCACTTCAAGCGCTACCACGATCCCAACTTCATCCCCACTGCCTTTGTCTGCGAAAAGTGTAACAAGACATTTACACGCAGGGTAGGACTGAGCTTTTAACATATGTACCGGTAGTTTTATTTATTTATTTACATTTGTCACTGAGTTGTAAAAATTGTTGATGTGCTCCACAGAACACGATGCTGCGTCATGCTGACAGCTGCACAGGTGAAAGTGCTGGAGAAGAAAATGGAACCCCTACCACCAAAAAGGGCCGTCGTGGCAGGAAGAGGAAGATGCAGGCCAGGGCTGATGATGATGATGATGAAGATGATGACACAGGTATTCTATACGCTTCTGATAAGTTAGTTAACCTCCATTTAATGTCTTTATTGGAAAGCTTGTATGGAATATGCCTCCAAATCAAACCAGTAGCAACCACTGAGTGGTTTTGATTTAAGCCAGTAATGCTGGGTCCTGCCCTCTGTACAAATGTTACTGTAATAACATCTAAGTCAACACGGGCCGATTTTTTTCCCCCATAACTTTTGCAAAAGTATCTTTCCGTCCATGTACACTCAAGGTTTTTGTTACAATTTTTAGATCTGGTAAAATTGTGTAACTCAACATTTGAATTCATACGTGCTCATCATACTTTGATATGTAGAGGGTGACTTGGATGAAGCAGAGGAAGAAGACGAGCTGCTAGCTGAAATCGAGATGGAACAGGCTCCACCAGTTGTCCCCATCCCAGCACCTGTGGAGCCACCGGTCAAGAGGAAACGCGGGCGGCCCCCAAAGAACAAGCTAGACAGTGAGTGTGCGGCCTAAAATGAGAACGATGGTCTGGTCACCTATGCACAACTAAACCATCAAATCACAATTACTGTAATAGTCTGGAAAAATACAATTGAATCTGACCTGAAACTTTCTCAGCAGCGGCTGCCATCATCCGTGTTGAGGACGAGGTCACTGGAGAGGTTGATGACATCATAGTGAAGAAGGAGATCGGAGTGGAACACGAGGACCAGGAGGACGGCACCGATGATGGTGTAGAGCAGGTGGTGGTCGGTGAAGGGAAGTCAACTATTGAGATGGAGGAGCTGTCCCATGAAGAGGGGGCAGCACAGGGGGCGCAGCTGTCCGGGGCCCCACCCAATGGAGATCTGACCCCTGAGATGATCCTCAGCATGATGGACCGGTGATGGATGTGAACCTGTAAACAACCCATGACCACATCTTTTTAATTCTTGGCATTTAGGATCACAAACACTTGTATCCTGCACAGAAAACAAACATCACTGTTGTAATTTAAGATATTGATTTTTAACCATGTATCGACAAAGACTTGGATAAAATGAAAAGGATTTTTAATAAGGATTTAACAACCAAAAAGGCTTTTCAGTACATTTGAGTTTGAAGTGGCTGTAATTGAAAGCAGTGTCTTTTTCACTGTCGCCCTTTGCGTCTCTTGGCTCTGATTATGTGGCAGAGAACGGCTCCTGTTCTGTCTAAATTGCTGCAGAATGATCCAATTATATTTTTACACAGTAAAATAACAAAATCTAAACCGTTCATGTAGTTTTACCCCAAAAAAATCCATCCCTCTGTTTTTTTTTTTATACAGCTATTGCTAAGTAATTTGCCTGTGTAAATGGGTTAAGAAGTAGGGGACCTTGCTTTGGTGTCCATATTAAGTTAAAGTCAGTGATGTTAGAGATTTCTTGAAAAGGAGCAACAACCTTCAGGAAAATGTTACTGCCATTAATCACAGTCACTTCAAGATGAGAGATATTTTGAATATTTTTTATTATTTCTTTTCTGTGGTTACTAGGTCCCTTTTTTAAGAATTTATGTTTTTAAAAGCTTGATAGAGTGCTCATCTAAAGCTCCTTTTTTTTTTTTCTCCTGTAACACCCGTAGATCATGTATATGTACTAAATATGTCTAAGTGCGAGGAAAGACCGTTGCTTTTGTTCCAATATGTAGTCATTCCACTTTGGGTTAATGTTTTCCTTTTGTACCATTGGCAATGCTATGTAGCGGCTTGAATGACATTTTATTAACTGTGTGGCAGAAGAAAACAGATGTATGACTGTACAACCAATAAAAAAAAATTAGACATGGAGACTGACGTTTAGGTTTCTGGAGCTGTAATATTTTCAATACTGGATATTTAAAATCAGTCAGGGTTAACTGGGCAGTTAATGTAGGTTAGTGGTGTAGGTACAGCAAATACAAGGCTTGAATTATTGCAACTGAGTGCTGACAGAAATCCATGTATTTTGCTTGCAATTATATTTTATTAAATTGAGGACTTGATATTAAGCTCTTCACTCATTTGTTTGTCTAAAGTTGAACTGATAACACATACTGGATCAGAACTATGTTTGCAATGCTATAGTAAACACATCAGTGCATGTGTAAATGATGTGCATGGTCTGATTTAGTTTATAGTGGATGTAAAATCCACAGCAAAGAGTGTCTTCTCGCTCCTGAAGTCCCTGAAGCACTTTTTTCACATCCCTGACTTTTTCCCTGTAAAGCATCTACATCATCAGGTAACGTGATGTGCCCACCTATCAGCTGTTTTGGCAGAAATTATGTAATTGTCACCTTGACTACAGCAGGTTCCTGCTGAGCAGGAAGGCCTCTGGGTAAGGGGTGTGATATTTCTGACATGCGCTCACAGCAGTTGACCAATCACATAAGAGTGATCCTGCTGACTAACCAGGCCAGGGTTTTTTTTTCTTGAGAATCAAGAGCTAAAATGGAACATTTCAGTTAGAAGGTAAAAAGAGGAACTGCAGCAATAAATAGTTCAAGAGAAATAATGTCTGTTCTGAACATTACAACATAATGGAGTTGCCCATGCAAAATATAAACTTGAACTTGCAAGTGGTCAAAATATGAGTGTAGAACTGTTTACCTGTCTGATTTTGGACTATATCAGTGGCTGCAGGACACTTTACTGTACATTCCGCTTGAGATTTCATTGCAGGGATGTAAATGTTCTAATTGCTGCAGAAACAATTGTCATTGCAGATATCTGGAGTCTGGTCTCTAAAATCAACCTTGTTGCTGAGATTCTGAGTTGCGTTTGGCTCCGGGAAAGAAAAGGTAAGCTCCTGCACATGTAGCCTGTGCTCTGGATCCACCACAGAAGGGTCTCAGTAGTATGTGTGGGTTGTGGAAGACTTTTTTGGGATACTTGTTTGATCATGGGTCATTCTACCTTTAAACAAGAAGAGCTGATGAAATGTATTTTCAAGTGATAACACCACTATGAGTAAGGTTTGAAGTTAAGACACCAGAATAGATGTTAGTATCTTCAATAATGATGGTCATAGTGGCAGTGTGGACACTGGGTGTGATGTCTGAAGGGGTTTCTTCTCTTCCATGCGACCATGGAGTGAATCAAAATATGTTCTGCTGTTATTTTCTACGGACAGATTGACAAGACAAACAAGCATTGGTGCATATTGTGCCAAAGAGTAAAATAATCATTCAATTATCTGCAATTGAACTGATATCAACAGAATGACACAAAATACTGATCTGCTTCTCTGCATGTGACGTGTCACATGAATCCACATCATGTGAGATGTGCATGTTGATGCTGATTAAAGCTGCCTTCAATGGCCTCCCATCATTCTCTCACATATGCTTTCCTACTGAACACAAAGAATTCTTTATTTAACCTGCTGGTTGTTGTCATCTGTATACTGACAACAGGATTTCTGTATGACTGAAACTGGAGTTTCTAGAACATATAGGCAGTGGTGAATTGAGGACACGGAACTGTTAAGTAGAAGTCCTTCATTGGAAACATTACTTGAGTAAAGATACATATTCAGATAAATGTTTTTAAATTACTGCAGCCAGGAAATGCAGAAAATAGTCACTACCTAAGAATGTTCATTATTTTCTCTTTATTTTGTAAAAAGAAAGAAATAGTATGGCCATACTGGAACCTATAAAGTGTTTGTTTTGTAAATACATTTTTGGGCAAATAGACCAAACCTCAAAATGATTAAAATAAATAAATGAAGAATCATGTATAGTCACATTTTAGAAGCCAGAACAGTCAACAATTGGTACTTCTGCATAAAAAGGACTCAGTTTCCTTCCAATCACCAGCTAATTATTCCAGCTCTAATTGAAATGTAGCATCTTATTTAATAATTTTCACCAGTGTATACAGGGAGATTTAATCAAACATGAGCTGTGAAGAGAATATTCTGGTTTATTATCTGTGAGGTATTTATCCAGGTTTCTCTTGACAACACAGACATGTCTGTGAGCATGTGGTGTCTGTGGTTGGGAATGTCCTGCTCATGTTATGCTGGTACTACTCCCTGCAGTGAAGTCCATTAGCTAAGGAAAAGTTAAGGCAAACTCAACATAGAGATTCTCAATGTTTCCCCTCTTATTGCTGTGAAGGAGTTATTTAAGTTTCACGCTGTTTTAAACCCACTTTCAAATTTGTAAAAACTTTATTTTATTTATGAAAGCAGGACAAGGAAATATCACTGAGGTCTAGATGAAAAAATGAATAAATCTCAACTTAGACTTGTCAAGTCTGGACTGAACTAACTTAACACTTGTCACACTTGTATAACTTATATTCGGTCTTTTATGTAAAATTGAACATACTAACTTAACCAAGTGCAGCTGGACATGAGTGAGAAGCCAACTCCGTGTTATCACTAAGTTACCATCAGCAGCACAGACGTGTTGTGACCAGAGGTTTATTTACTTCTGTCTATTCTGTGTTCTGATCCCTCGCTCCGTGTTTGTGACGTCTACAGACGGTTTCCAGCCGTCGGTTATTAAATATGGAAGATGGTCATGGTTTGATCGGCTGTGACGTGGTGTTTTGTCGGAAATCAGGAGTAAAGGAACAGCGCCACATGTTCTTCTCCCCTCGGCTCAAACTAACTTGTAGCCTCGGGCCTCGGTGCAGCAGCAGCGGCAGCTCCTCGCTGATGTAACGGCTCATCTGACCCTACACGTCGGACCGGAGCTCCCCGGGGTGACACTGCTGACCTCGGTCCCCTCTCTCTCTGTCTCTGCTTCGGAAACATCGTGTCTGTGTTTTTCCGCTTGATTCACGGCGGCGTCGCCAGCGCAGCACCGACAGCAGCGACTGACTCAACTGTGACAGACCGAGGGACATCCTTGTTGCCACAGCAACTAGCCGCAACACCGTTTCCGGTTGGAATGACGAGGTTTCAAAATAAAAGCGGCCCGTTAGATTTGGTTGTATTTCAGCGATCATGAATTGAACCGATGTTTCCATCGGTGGAGAAAGGAACAAATTCAGTCCTTTGCTTGAGTAAATATGTTACAAGTAAAAACATGTTTATTGTAAAATGTGCACATAAGATCAGCAATTATTAATAATTATTGCAACAAAATAACAGCAAAATGACTCGTGTGACACATTAACAGTTTATTATCACTCGTTTACTTTTGAAGTTGGTTAAGTGGCAGTGGATTTTTGAAAACTTGTATATATGAGTGAGAGTATTAACTCATTTCATTGTGGATTCATTTCCCTGCCTGTCTCTCTTACTCAAAAACTCAAAATCTCTTCATAGAAATAATTAAAAAAAAAATGGATGCCTGCATTTACCCTAAAAAAAGTAAAATAGATTATCATAAAAGTTGCCAATTAAGTTCTTGTGAATTGAATACTAATTTTAGCTTTAATGTTGATTGTTCTATAAAAAAGAAAATTGGTAACACTATATATTAGGGAACACATATCAACCATTAACTAGTTGCTTATTAGCATGGATATTAGAGGCATATTGGCTCTTTATTAGTCATTATAAAGCACTTATTAATGCCTTATTCTTAATGACCTTATTCTGCAACCACTCCATTGATTAACAGTTTTCCCTTAATAACCTCCTAATTACTGCTTATTGATGGTAAGTAAGGAAGTTGTTGTACATGAATTACAATCAAGTGCTTGGATATGTGATCTTCAAATGTTTTGTATGTTTAAAGCACAATTTACAGAGTAAGCTCTAATTCAAGCAGTCGAATTTATGTTATGGCGTAAAAGTAGAATTTATACGTAGTATCCCAACATGCTTATTTGAGTAAAGTTGACTGCAGAGATGTATTATTATTGTAGCTATTATTATTATTGTGGTTATTGTGGTTGTTGTTGTTGTTGTTGTTATTATTGTTATTATCTTGTCTATTGCTATTTCATACAAGTTCCCCTGTTCGTGAATCCAATTCAGCCCCACATGTTGGACTTTTACACTGAAAAGCATGTACCGGAAGTGATTCCTGCTCACTTCTGCTGCTTTGATCGTGGAGACAAAAAAAACTGCGAACCCCAGGAGAAGAGAAGGACAGCGCCCAGAAGAAGTAAAACCTCTGCGAACTGTGCGGAGCATCGTGCTGGAAATGCGGTGTTTGTCTGCGGGTGGTCGGACATTAAATCACAGGTAGGGTGGGGGTCTGCTGCTTCCATCGCCAAGGTCACAGCGAGAATCCTGGGAACATTTGTCTTGATGAGTCCGGCCGACGTGAAGTTGCCTTGCTTGTGATGTAGTCGAGGTTAAACCCAGCAGCTGGTTCTCGTGGACCCGGGGGTTCGTCTCTCCGGTGGGGTTCCACTGTTAGTTGTGAGTCGGTGGGCTTGTGCCGTGTTAGGGTCCAGGGTGTCCGGGGGTCCTGCTGTGGTCCGGGAGTGGACTTTTTTTCCCCCCGTGGCCTGTGATGATCTCCGGGGGCTGGGGTGGGATATGTTCGGAATACTAAATGTGTCTCGATGCGCTTTCACAAGTTTGCTGCCTGAGCTGCGTCTTTACTGGGGGTAAAGAGCACGGCCGCGGTGTGTGAGGCTGGTAATCCGACTCAGTGGCCTGCTGCCGCCGGGTTAGACTAATCCAATAATCTGGAACAGAGGTGGTAGCATTTTATTGTAACACCATTACCCCTTCATCCTCCTCCTCCTCCTCTTCTTCCTCCTCCCCATGCTCCAACACACTCTGGATGGACACTTGTTTGATTGGCTGTGAGATCTGTATCGGTGTATATCTGCTCTAATGCTTTGTGAGTCCAAATGTCTATTTATAAAAGATCTGATCTGAATTATTCAAACTGGATCAGTGGATGATCTGCTCGACAGGAAATCGATCACATTAAGTTGTTATGATTTAATAGAAAAGGTTCAAACCTCCATCCACATCATTTATTTTTCTTTGTAATACATTGCTCTCATATTTTTGGAAACAGACACAAAAATAAAGTAAGATATTACTCTTTGGCTGTGGTAACTTTAGGAGAATCCATCAATTTGCCATCAGAGGAAAAGCTAACATCAGCCAACCTTTTTCATAACTGACCAACTGCAGCTTCCTCAATATGAGAACTTGCTCTGATTTATTCCACTGTACCTAAAATCTCTTCTGTTCAGATTTTTTATATCAGACTTGATTAATTATGTGACGAAGATAAGAGTCATAGTCCAGGTTATTATCAAAGATCAACTTGTCTGAAGTAACCAATGATTAACAGGGATTCTGAGATTGTCGTAGGCCCTAACCACAGCCTGAAAGACTCTATATGTGCTTGAGCATGAAAGGCTGTTTTTAAACAAAACTCCAGTCTTGTGAGGTGATTGGAAACAGTGTCGTCTTTGTTCGCTCTGCTCTGTGCAGAGGATTAATCCAGCTAATGATCTCTAATGTAAGGAAGGGGATAAAAAGCACATCTGACAGAGAGGACACTGGACGGACAATAATTATTATTATTATTATTATTATGAATATTTCCAAATGCCTGCAGAGCCTGTGTGTGGGCTGCAGGTATACATTAGCTATTTATGTGTGGGTGCTAGTATATGATTTGCATCTCATTCAATGTGTATATGATCACAATGACTTTGCACTTTCATAGCTGGGCCCCCCTCCTCCAGGTGTTAGTCCGATTCCAGCATCTGTTCCTTGGCACAGTTTGGCAGATCGTGGCTGGAGTTGGTGGTGTTTTATCTGTAAAGGCTCTCTGGTATGGCACCTTTTCTTTGTCACGTTCTAACCGTGACCACCTGCAGTTAATCCTCCCCAGTGTAGCAGCTCAGATTATCGGTTTAACTGGACCACTGGTGGCTGCAGCCCCCCCCCCCCAAGTCCACGTCCTCACTGTTGTGGCAGGAGAACCCAGAAAGACAGCAGGGTGTATCCATCTTATTCTCACATCAGCAGTGTTTACTCCTAATCATGTAAAACTATAATCCACATGTTTTCCACCTCAGCTACTCCGACAGGTGGAGCACTCTATGATCCTGTCATAGATAATCAGCTCATTTCCCTTCGTTTGTGAGTTTAGTGTAAGACAACGCAGAGCAGATCCCTCCAGTGGCTCTGTCCTGTTGTTGGCTCATTCACAGATCCTATGTGTTAATATGGGCTTGGCTCCTGCTTGGCAGAATTAGTTTGGTTTAAATCCATAATCTCTTTTGTGACTAGATTAACTCAGGCACGACCCTCTCTTCCTATAGTTTCCCCCCGATTGTGGCATCACGCTAATCTGCGAGTTGTAATATCTTAGTCAAGGGTAGAAAAAGGGATCTATTTTCACACACACTCTCTCTCTCTCTCTCTCTCTCTTTCTCTCACACACACACACACATACAGAGTAGAGGGATGGTTTTATATTGTAGGGCCAAACTTCTGTGTAGAATTTCCTGTGTAGAGTCGGCCATGAGACTTCCTGTACTCTGGCGTTGGATGTGAAGGGGGGTGGAGAAAGAGGGAAGGAAGGGGAAGAGAAACACAGACTGTACTGCCTACTGTTGTCAGTGGTGGCCACTGTGGCTGCCGCATGTATGTTGCTCACTGTCTCAGACTTCCAACAAAACAACACAATCATACAGAGGAAGCAAAAGAGTGGTTTCCCTCCTCTTCTCTCCTTATCCCCACCACTTTTCTCTGCAGTGACCTTGACAATTATCAGACTCCTTGATGATCACAGAGTCAGAGAAAAAATGCTTGTCAGGTACAGTGAGGTAAGAAGTGAAGCAGGACATTTTTGTCACTAATGTCTCTTTTTTGTGTAATTACAGGACATGTCTTTTGGTTTGTTGAAGCCACAGTGCTACACTCAGCTCCTCAAGCATGCGACAGTAGTGACAGTATCTCTCCGTTCAGCAGGTGAGCAGCGTTAAATCTCTGCCCTGCCGGTTTCCTTAATGCCACATTTGAATGTGCTTCATGTGAAATAATCAGGAAGTCTTATCAGACCTGATCCCATGCTCCATTTCTCCCCCTGCCTCTCCCTCCCTCAGCACCGTTTGATCTAAGAGAAACGTGCCTTGTAAGGAAGCAGGATGTTCACAGGATCCACCAAACTGCCACCCACTAAAACTCCCCAGCCAGAGCGGCTGGATGAAGTCTACGCTGCCTTACGCAGAGGCTTACAGTGAGTAAACACATCTCAGGCTCTGCTCCAGAAGCCTGCATGGTGGACTATCACTCAAAATGCAGGATACCACTGATCTTGGAGGGTTGAAGTGAAGAGGTAACTGTGGGTTTTTGTTTTCAGGTCGTACCTGCAGGTCCACCAGCTGGAGCTGGACAGTCTGGGTCAGCAGATCAGAGAAAACAAGAGGAATGGTCGTCTGGTGAGAGCCCACCTTGTCAAACCAGTCGCACCAGTATTGACCATGATTCAGCACCAGGCTGGTTGCAGTCAGGATGTTGATTTGATGTGTTGTGATGCTAAATGTTCTATTTGTTTGTTTTCCTGTGCAGGGGTCATTGTATGAGCTGGATAAGGTGAGTTTCATTCACACGTGTTGTACACAGACATGAATGTAGGACAGGGAAACTGTGAGAACGAAAGAATAAGATGGTTTTATCTCTTCAAGCCTAATAATTGTTTTGTGTTTTGCAGCAAGTGAAAGCCATAGAGAGGTTCATGCGTCGCTTGGAATTCCACCTCAGCAAGGTGTGTATGAAAAGGTTTAATGAAAAGCTTCATGTGTTTACTATTTAAAGTTGCTCTTTTCAATGTCATATTGTCACTAGATGTGTGATGTAAAAGAGAGCTAACGCCTTACTCTGCTGTAGCCCTCAGCTCTGCTGTAGCCCTCAGCTCTGCAGAGCTTTAGCATCATTTGACTGATTGTTGTGGTTTTCAAACCCACAACTTTATTGCTTTGGTTCAGTATCAGTCTCACCACTGTGCTTTCCAGATTCATCAGCTGTTTATATAGAAAAGGTTCAGAAAAACCCGCTGCACTCCAAACAGAGGAAGGCACTTTTAGTGACTGGTCAACATAGAGGAGCATTTAGCAGACAAAGAGTTTCATATTGGTGTCAGGGGTGGAGACAAAAGCAGAGCTAAAATGAATGAATGCTGATGTAGCCTTTTGTCTTTTGGGTTGCCAGTCCACTACTTTCAACACAACATTGAATGTTTACAAAATCACATAATTAGGGGCTGAAAAATCAAACAAACGAAAAATATAATTGCATAAAAATATACATGTCTAATCTGTGATGTTTTTCATCAGACCACATTATACCAATGTGTTAAACCTGTGTACTTGTTGCCTCTGCAGGTCGAGGAGCTGTACGATGCGTATTGTATACAGCGGCGACTGCGTGATGGAGCGAGTAAGATGGTGGCGGCCTTTAACTCCGCCACTGGCAGCAAGGAGGCCAGAGAGAGCCTGAGCGAAGCCAACAAGGGCTACAGGGAGTGTACAGAGGCAAGTGACAGCACTGAGGTCAACAAGTCTGAACTTTATGTGTCAGCAAGTACAATGGCTCCAGTGCTATTTATATTTTTGTAGTAAATAGTATTCTACTATAGATTACGCAGTCCGTTTGTTATTGAGTAATCAGCAGATTCAGAATCTCAAGAAGATCTTTTCCAAGATGATGTCTTTAAACTACTTGTTTTGTTTGACCAACATTCAGTGTAATATCAAGACAGGGCTGGGACACTTTTTTTTCTATCAAGGGCCATTTCTACTTTTTAAAACATCCTTTTCCGGCCATATTGAATCACCTAAGGTGATTAATAGAAGTGCTTGTCTTTGATGAGCATCTGATGTCAGATGGTAGTGATGATGATGATGCTACCAGCAGCTGGTTTTCCAGGTTTGGATCAGTCCGTCTTAAGTGAAATGATTTCACAGACGTAAACATCAGTAGAAATACTTTTCATTTATAGATCTCTAGCAGAGGGAGCTTGTTGCTGTAGTTGTGTTGGGCACATCAGCTGGTTCCACAATAAACAGCGGAGCAAATACCTCGAATTCCTTTTTATTTACTTTTCATGTCCTGAAACCTTTTGCCAGCTTCCTGAAGGAGTTAAGCAAATTCACCATCATATTCAGACATCACAGCAGGTTTTTGTTCTTACAGAGCATAAACATGCAGAGCGTCCCCCCCTCTATAGTTGCACTTGTCTTGTCATGTGTGTTGTTTCATCACAGGCCACAGAGAATCACGTTTAATGTCATTAATGTGCTTCGAACTTTTCTTTATCTGGTTTGAGCACCTTCTAATAGCTTCTCAGCTGTATAATATTGTCTCTGTCAGATCGTGGTCTTCTGAAAGCTGATTGTTAGATTCTCAAACTCTGCGTTGACTTTTGTCCACGAATCTCATCCAGTTAAGCTGCATGTTTTGAGCTGTAATGATGGAGCCTTTTCATCACTGTGACCATGTCCCATAAAAATAGGCAAACTGGCTTGTTTATCTGTCATCTGTAATTATAGCACATAGCTCTGCGACATTCCGCATCTACTTTATCTTATCTTGACAGTTACCATGAAACTTGTCGATGATGGCACATAACCGCTACGTGTGTATTCCCTTTTCGTTCAACAGGTTAACATAGCCAGAGGCGATCTCTTTGAATGTGCTATTTGGATCTACTATTTTATGTTATTTAATTTTATTGCAGAACAAATCAATTGTCATCATAAGAATATTTTTGGCCTGGATCAAAATGTCTTGTGAGCTGCATATGGCCTGGAGAAAAAAAAGAAAAAAGAGAGCTACATGTCACAACATCCGATAATATAAAAACAGTGATTTAAAAAAAAATTTGCTTGAAAATTTGCTAAATGACAAAGCAGTTTTCCAAAAGTTTCTTGTCAACTTTATCTCCAAAAACGAATCATTCGATCATTTCAGTTCTACATGTTATAACAAATGATCCATTATTTAAACCTGTCACTCTTTGTGTCTCTGTAGCACATGTGCTCACTTGAGAGTGAATTAGAAAGCCAGATGGGAGAATTTCATGTCAAGATGAAGGGTGAGTCACTTATTACACAAATGTCACTTCCTACTCCTCATGTAAGTCCAGTTCTCATGTCTCTGTTGATTTCTGATGTTTCAGGCCTCGCTGGCTTTGCGCGGCTGTGTGCTGGTGATCAGTATGAGGTAAGAAATGGAAAATTATAGCGTATAGATGCAGATTTTTACAGAGTCACTGTGCCTGTTGCATCACATCAGCTTTTTCTGACCGCATAAGGTACTAATGCGTTATGGGCGTCAACGCTGGAGGCTACGAGGCCGTGTGGAAGTCAGTGCTAAGCAGATATGGGACAGCGAAGAGTATATTTTCCTGCCTCTCGTCACAGAGCTGCTGTCAATCAAGGTAATGAAATCAGCTTTTTAAAGATAAGGCTCATATTATTCTAAATCTACTTATTGTATTATTCTGAAATTAGACTAGTTTTTAGCAAATGTTTCTCAGAAAAGAACAAATGGTGCATTTGTTGGTCCTCATCACAGCTTTGGATCTAAACACATGGTGCCAACTTAAAGTAAACTTCAGTGTTTGTGTTCAGTTTCTGTAAAATAGAGGATGCAGGACATAACGTCTAAATTCTACTGCTGAAATCATGTGTTTTTGTTTATAGCACATCGACACTGGCCCTTATCACCAAATACTCTTAATGATATTACATCTTCTGTGGGTTTTGGCCACACAGGAAATTCTTAGCTGGGTCGATTAATGTTTTTTTTCCTTTTCATGTGCTTTGTTATCAATAATAAAAATATTCTATCGCCGGTCTTTAATTTACTACATATTCGTCATGGTTTCTCCATGTCCTCATTTTTCTGGCATTTGGTTGTCAAGGTGACGGAGCTGAAGAGCCTGGCCAACCACGTGGTGGTGGGCAGCGTGTCCTGCGAAATGCTCGACCTGTTTTGCCCACTCCCCCAGACGCTCGCTGTGGATATCAACGACCTGGGGACGGTGAAGCTAAACTTGGAGGTCACCTGGAGGTTTGTGTTTGCCACGTTTTTATTTCGAGGTACATCTCCGTACTTCTACATAGATGCAAGTGAGGGATTGGAAATTTCCACTTCAGTGAACCAGAGAGCTTCTGTTCCCACATGATGTGATTACATGCATCATAAATCAGCCCTGATTGTTGTACTTTGAAGATGACTCGCATTCAAGCTCAAAAAGCATTAAAAAATATTCAATGCTTTGGAGAACGTGTGCTAATCATCAATGCTGTTATTGATTCTACTAACCTGCAGCACACATCTCGTGTCCTCAGGATCTTTTTATTTTATTTTTTGTAGTGTTTAGACTTAAGTGTCGATATCCCTGTGGCTCACTTTACGCTCTGTGTTTTTCCTCTCTCTTTTTTTCAGTCCGTTTGATAAGGACGACCAGACATCATCCACCAGTACGGTTTCTAAACGGCTGCTGTCCAATCAGAGCCCTCCAGACACGCCCTCTATGCGGGAGCAGGTGTTTTATGTGAGTCACATTATTCAGCCTCGGTTTTTCTACTAACAGCAGCTCCACCACACCTGCTCTGACACCACTGTGGCCTTTTTCACAAATACAGACTTTGACTGTGGTTTAGATCTCACTGATTTTCAGGCTGCAGATGAACATCTACACTCATCTGTTGCACAGAGTCAGAGTTACGGACTAATTTGCTGTGTGGTCTGGGTACATTTTTTTCCAAACTATAAAACATGCGAGATCATGCAAACCGTATCAGACAGCTCGGCTCCATTCTGTTTAGAGGAAAATTAATTCAGTTACGGAGGAAAAAAAACTGAAATGTCAACACAGTGCAGACGTGGAGCTGATGATGCTGAGATGAGGTTTTAATCTGTGTAACTTGTTTTAATCAAGGAGTTATTGAAATGTTGAAGGCCAACAGAAGGAGTCACTCTGAGAAAACTAAGCAAACATTGTCCCCTCCTACATTTAACACTTAACACTCCAGGGGTCGTGGAGCGTCTCTTCTTTGTAGATGTTGAATCTTGTCAATAGTCTTCTATGTTGTGAGGGTGACTCATGTTCCAGACTCTCCGCCTCCACATTTGAATGCCGCTAAAAACGCAGCAGAATTACATCAGCAGCTCATTCCTTCACCGTGCAATAAGAAGGGGCACCCTCACTGTGTGTTGCCACCATGTCCTCGTGATCTCCGTGGTAGCAGATGACTGCACAAAAGTCAGTGTTGTCCATTTTCAATTACCCAAAATAGAAATACCACAGACGTTATTCATTTGAAACGTTCTGCTCTTTTGCCACTAACTTTATCTGCATGTGCAGCTTTAGAACTCATCTGTACCTTTGGTCTCAAAGTTCTCAATAACCCATCATAAGAGCAAACTTAAAACTGCAGTCAAGTCTGAAATATCTGAGTGAAACAAGCCCCTGGTTCATAATTTGTATAAATGCTTTGTAACAGCCATGCAAATCACTATTGTTACTATAAATACATATTTCTATTTGCCATTTACGTCACTGATGGCTACTATTACTGTCATGTCACTGGCTTGTTCTATTTCAGCTGCTCCCCAACTGCTTTGTGTGTAGCGGTAGCACTGATGTGTGTGAGGATATTCACAGAGGACTGTGTGGTAGGACATGTGGTTGTGGGAGTGGCGTGCCTGACGTGAGGAGAATGAATGATAGCAGTCATGGGTTGTGTGACAGCAGCAGTTTGTATGAGCGAAGCTGTGGTCCTTGTAGCTGTTTAATAGTGGTTGAGTAGCGCTCCATCATGTCCTCCTCCTCTTCCTCACCTCGCTGAAGAGCATGCCCCGTGGCAGGCCCAGACCCAACTGCTCCATGGTGGAGGCGTTCCACGATGTTGCGAAGGACAGGAGGCCATCGTTACGCTGTGAATTCAGCCATACCGCCCCCCGATTCACCTCCGTGCAGTCGGTGTGTTGGGACGTAGATGTAGCTGTAGTTTTAGTCTATAGTGATCATAGTAGAAGAAACCAAAAAATTATAATAATGTATTATTCAAAAGTAATAAAGCTGTGATGTATATGAAAAGAAAATCTGATCAAAAGATTCATGAGTTCTGAATGATGCATCACCATTACATATAAGCTGAAATGTGAACAGAAGCTAAAAACTGATATATTCAGTTCATATTACGATGTAGCAAACATAGCAGAAATTCAAAGAAGCAATTTATTTTTGCTTTGTTTTAAATGAAATTCTACATTTTAGTGTTCTGTTTCGTAAATTGAATTTGATTGATTCATCCAGTGGTTGTCAAACATTTTCTGATGTGCCTCTTTGGAGGCAGAGAATGTTTCTGATCCCTGTAAAAGTTTTTATACATCATTTACAGTGTTTTTATTCCTGCCTGTGTTTCCTCTCTAGTCTCTGCTGAAGCGACAGGGAGAGATGGAGAACGGGACAGTCTGGTCTAACTCCTCTGAATCCTCCGACGACTCCTCCAGTCCGGCGCTGGCTCATCACGCTCAGAGGCTGACGGCCTCCAACATGCTGCAGAGCACTCTCACCAGTCAGCTGTCACTCACTCCCCACAAGTCCAGCGTGTCAACGCCGTCGCTCTCGTCCAACCAAGAGGAGGACGAGACAGAAGCCGGGGAGGTCTTCTCTCAGACAGATGCTGTGCCAAACGGCCATCTGCAGACTTCCTGCTCTCACAGCCAAGTGGGCGAGAGCAGCCTGGACTGTACTGTGACTGACAGGGCATCTCTGCAGTCCACTGACCTCTCAGACACCTCAGTGGACCTGAGCTGCTCGTGCCCTGACGTCTCCTCTGTACCTCTTGTGTCGTTAGTGGAGAGAGCAGATGTTCCTGAAAGTGGCATCCCACAAGTGTGTGTTTCAGCAGAGGGGGTAAAGGATGAACCCTGCGAGGACTCCTCTTTACAGGCTGAAGCAGAAACAGAGGACAGCACCACTGAGGCACAGGGTGGAAACCAGCTAGAAGCATCAGAGAAACACTGTCAGCCACACCAGTCCAGTCAGGAGCCCAAACAAGCAGAGGACGCTCCTACGGTGAGCTCAAGAAAAGGTTCATGTGGAGTTTTTGTAGTTTCGATAGTGATATTATTAACACCTGCATTTGTTTTTCCACAGGTTTCTTTTCCTACTTCCTCTAGTTTCATCCAGGAAGTTGAGACGGCCCTCGAAAGTTTTGACTTTCTCAACTGCTCTGACCTTGATGAAGAGGAGGAAGAGGAGCAACAAGTGAAAGACAAAGGAGAAAAGGAAGAGGAGCAAGGAGAGAAAGACGAAGGAGAAAAGGAAGAGCAAAGAGAGAAAGATGAGGGAGAAAAAGAAGAGGAGCAACAAGAGAAAGATGAGGGAGAAAAGGAAGAGGAGCAACAAGAGAAAGATGAGAGAATAAAGGAAGAGGAACGACCTGAGAAAGAGGAAGGACAAAAGGAAGAGGAGCGTGGCCAACATCCTGACATCCAACACAGAGTGGAGGAAGAAGAAAAGGTTGAAGGGAATTTCTACTCTGGTGGAAGGTCAGAGTTGTTTTTTGTCACAGACACGACTGAAGTAATGTTTTAAACTGAACTGTTCTGGCTCATACTCATGGCTTCGATGAGCTCTGTGCACCGACTGCACATCACCTGCTCAGCACCAAACACAGACACAGTTATCAACTTGCTTCCAAACATAGTTGAGCATTAAGCAGCTAAAGAGCCAAAATATTTCCTCAGGAGTTGGTGGAGGCCAAAATCAGAGCTGAAAGTAAATGTGACCAGAGACATGGCTCCAAATAAATATGTTCTGTTACATATGAGCAACAATTTACTGTCTGTCAATAACTCATCTCTTTACAGTTATCAAAAGCTTCTCTGACTAATCAAAGATTATTGAACGTGTTAACCAGACACAGGCTGAGGTGTCTGTGGCCCCTGAGCTGGAGCCTCTGTATGAAGTGACTGTGATTGTATCATGTGGGAAAGTCAGTCAGAGACGACTACAAAGACATAAATGGACCAATAACACAAACAAACCCTCTTCAATGCTGAGTGGTTTTGTCTCTTTGAGTCAGGTTGTCTTTCTATTATCCACATGACTGTATTTTATATTGTTGTGAAGATTAGTGTGTGAAGGAACATTTCATGCACATGAATGTGTTTACATGCTGATGAGTGACGTAATGAAAAATGACTGATGCAGCGGTGGAGACGCCAATGAGGCTGAATTTTGTAGAAATGTGTACAAAATGATGAGAGGCGTTCAGGATATTTACATTTGCTGAAATAGTAAAACTATAAAATAAAAACGTAATCTTGTTAAACATAATATAGTAGTGGAAGAAGACAAAAGCAGGAAAACTGTGTGATAAGGGTTTTTTAATTGATGTGCGTACATTTGTGACCTTAATGTTTTTTGTTGTTATTGCCACATCGATCTACATCTTTTCGTTTCTCTCAGCAGTGATGACGAGGAGGAGGCAGACGGCCTTGAGATCCTCATGGAAGCCCCAGAGGGATTTAGGAACTCAGATGAAGATCGTTTTTCTGAATCACAGGTAAACATTATTTATCGAACCATCTGTTATTAGACCTTTTATGATAATAAAAAAAAAATTGGAGCTNGGGTGAGATGACAGACTGGAGTCGGGAATTGGGGGGGTGGATCATGGGAGGCAACAGATTTAACAGAAGTGGGGATGAGGATGGGGTGGCTGTTGGAGGACGCCTCAGTCTGTAGTTTGTAAATAAAACCAGCTTTGTGCTCCTCTGTGTCCTGACTCCATGGGGGTGGGTGATATATTTTTTTTTTAAAGGAGTCGAGTGTGGAAGATGTGCACGATTTAGGAGAGATCGAACTACCTGAGGATAAGGAGGAACCCAAGGGAGATGAACAACACGGTGAGAAGAGTTTGTCAGTAAACAGTCGTTGATCATGTGACGATGTCACTGCAGGCGTAATGACTTTATGTCCTCTGTGTCTTTTAAATCCTTCCGAAGAGGACACATCACATGACCAAGAGGAGCGTCCCTCCACTCCCAGCCATTTGGCCACGACTGTCTTCTAATGACACAGTGAAACCATAGCGAAACCATTTTTCCTGCTCTGTTCTGCTCATGCCAACTCCCTCCTCTCATCCCGAGGGACCAGAGGCCTTGAGGATGTCCCACTTACTGCTCAGACAAACAAGCTCCTCCATTACGGCCGAGTTTGTGCACATATCTGCCTTGTTTGACAAAGAATGATAAACCTTGGGGTTTGATGATAAACCTTCAGTCACGTCTGAAAGTCTCACACACACACACAAACACACACACACACACACACAAACACACACACACACACACACACACCCTTCAGTAGATCTTTGTTCATTCAACACATGCTCTTATCATGTTGCCTGAGTTACAGTGGGATGCCACTTCAGTTTACACTTTCATCTGTTCCTGTCATGTGAAAATTCAGTGTCCAAAAACATTTCAGGAGCAGCTAAAAGCGGCCTTGTTCTTGGCTTTATTAGTGTGTTTTTTTAATTGATCTAATAATTTTGAAAAAGTTTTATATGTTGGAGTTGATGGATTTCTTCAATCCACAGAAGCATACAATCATTTGCCGAGTTGCATTACAAGCTACCAGTATTTGCGGATATGGGAAAAATATCGAGGTCATGATTTTCAGTGTTAAATCGGTGCACAGCCCAGAGCTCTTTCACTGACCATGTGATGTTTGTCTGAGGATTTTCATCTACATGAAGTCATTTTCAAAGCAGGAATTCACCCTGAAACCAACAGGATATTTTCATATTATTCATCAGAGATGAGAATTTTCAGAAATGAAACGTCAAAGCTGCACCAGGGCCTGAGCTGAAACATGTGTTTTATATATATATGAGAAATGAGTATAAACACTTTGAAGACAGCAGTTTGAGTTTCTCTCCAAAAACTTCTCGGTCCAGTTTTTACAAACATGGAAAGAACGTGCAGAGTAAAACTATATGTAAACCTGCATGTGTCGCTGCCTCACACTGCCAGCATGTCTGTATAAAGAGCTCAAGTGATCAGTTTTAAGTGTGTAAGCTAGGCTCCACTCAGAGGACGCCCTCAGTTCTGTAGCTGTGTACAAAAGCTGCCTCATGAGGGCGCCATAGTCTGTCAACGTCATTGCTTTCCATTGTTCTACGAAGCCTCGTCATTCAGAAAGTGCCTAAAGAGACAGGGATGTAAGGTTGTAAATGCCAGGATGGAAGAGATCAGGCGAAAGAAAACAGTGTTTATTTTCTGAATTACTTTTAAGAGTGTGCACAATAAGAGATATTTACTGTTTCATATAAAAGAATTGTATATGTCTTGAAATGTTTATGTTCAGAAATGTTTAAACTTTATAAAGCTTTCTTTAAAAGTTACGTCTGCTGTTGTGGTGAATGAATTGGACTGTGACAAACTGCACAGCACCAACTGTTCATGAATCTAATTTTAGACACTCTTTAAATTGGAAGACATGTACTGTAAGAATTGAACATTAAAAAAACAAAAAAGATGCAAAGGAACTGGTTTGAAAAAGAAATGCAGCCACTTTATTCAAGTAAAAGTACTGAAAAGTGAGTCAAGCAGTTGTGTGTTGGCTCATCTTAAGGACAGAACATTACGATCATCCCGCCCTGACCCTTATATTCACAGGTTAGAAAAGTCAATGTATCGACTGTTTTTAACGAGGAAATGTTTAAAAACTATAAAACCAGAATATGATGCGAAAAGATCTAAAAAAGTGTCAATGTCACCAAAATGTGTCCTTTAGAAACCAGGAACTTGAATCCCTCCACCTTTTCCGTTGCAATACTGAAACCCAGTGCAACATATCTGAGGAACCAAAACATGAAGGTTTAACATGATAAAGCAGACATGTCATTTTCACATATTAAAATCTATCACTCAGCTTTCAGTGCAATAAAACATCACAGATAAAACAAGTTTAAATAAAAAATCTCCAAACTTTCTTTCAATTTCTCTCAAATAAAACATGTAGACATATTTAAAAACGGATACTGTCACACAGAATTTGCTACAGAGATACTCCTGCTTTTGCTTGATTGCTGAATTGTCCTTAACAATATATTTAGCCATCTCAAATGATCTTATCATTTTATCCTCTTTTTGTATATGTATGACTCAGTAGCTGCATAGATCCATAAGTAGATCAGGAACACAGCTCTTACTGCATGTGAGTCATTCACACGTGAATCTTGCTTGTTTAACTGCTCTGTTACTTTCAGGCATCATTTTATCTGGAAAATCTGGTTCAGCAGCCTGAACAACACAGTCACAGAAGGGGTCAGTGAGCAGTTCAGAAGTTGACTGAAAAAAAATGCAAGAATACATTTGAAATTTAAAAATTAGTTTAAGTATTGAGAGTTATGTTTCCCAAATCAACAAACTGAAAGAAGGACAGAACCTCTGGTGAGTTTTGAAAATGGCTCACACTAATGCAACTTAGCTTCAGGGATTAATTCTCTCATAAAATTCTCTTAAAAATCTATCACATCAAAATTTAAAAAACAAAACAATCAAAGTTATAACAGCTTCCACTGACTTCAAGTAAACTTCCTGCTTAGAACAAAGGCACCGGAAAAAGGGGTTTTCAGATTATCCAACCATTATGTCATCAAGATGAAATGAAGGTGATTTTGTACACAGGACCAGTGGCTACTCTCTAAAATGTCCACACTTACACACAAGAAACATGAACAGCTCTAATGGAAGGATTTGGACGCCACTGTCTCGACTGTCAGGGACGGCGGCTGGGCAGAACAAAGAGACAGACACACAGAGATTTATTAATACAATTCATGAAGACAGGAAACAGCATGCATATGATTTTAATTTTCTGTTTTTATTAGTTGATAAACAAAATTCTACTCTTCCAATCAGGAGGACTACAGCACGGTTCAACGCAGGTCTACATCTTCAACCTCTGGACAGGGAAATCTAAAAGTTCATGCTACTTCAAATTTTTTAGACTGAATACAAATGTATATACAATCTAGACTTAGGCCTTTATTATCCCCTGGGGGATATTTGTTTTCACAGTCGTGTGTGTGTGTTCTTACCTTAAAAACAAAGTGGCTGCTCCTGTGACCCCCCCATATGCAGTAAGGCTGTACTGAACCCGGCCTTCAGCGCTGAGTAGTCAGGCTGCTCAGAGTACTGCAGATCCATCACTGCAGTCAGGAAGCTTTGAAATGCACCTACATCAAATCACACTGAAGATGAGCGGATGGTATCAAATCAAACACTTTTTTATACTGTATCTGAAACACATCTGAACTCACTGGAAACTCTCGTCCTCCCAAAGCAGTGACTTAACAGTGCAGGAACATCATCCATGTACCTAGTGAGAACTTTAATTGAGTTTTTGTATTCTATTTGTTTGGTAAAACTGACTTGTAAAAGTATATGGGTTGGGATAAAATCTCTCACCTCTCTTTGTGGGTGGCAACCTGCTCTGGTTGACTGAGGTCACTCCATGGCAGTGGACCTGTGTGCCATCGCAGCATGCAGTAACCCAGTGACTGCAGGTCGCTGCGTCGAGACGGCGCTGAAAACAGAAAACACAGAGTGATGACCACAACTGTTTCCCCTCAGATTTGGCTTCTTGAATGTTAAGTTTTCAAAGTGACCGCTTTTAACGTGTCCTTTTTATTTCCCATAATTCATTTCCAATCATTTACTTTGAAATCTGGAAACATGATGTACCACCAGAAATATCACAGAAGAATAAGACAACAACAAACGATGGCAGCCGAAAACAAAGACCCCAAAACCTAATGCCTCTAATAACAGGCTGTCGCCGCCGGCATAATGTCATAAAAATATACTCTGCCACTTACTTTTTAGTTGATTCCTGTGTGTTTTGTGTCTGTTCTGTGCTACAATGTTTGCTGAGTTCATTGTGTTATTTGCCTCTGCTTGAATCTATATATTAAACATTGGTATTTAATTTCAGGCTCATCTTAAACAGAATCCTCCAGCAAGACATTATGCATCTTAATGGGAGCTGCTTAGTTACATGAGGGATAAATATATTTTTTTTAAATTATCATAATAAGTCAAAATTGAATAAAATAAAATATTATCACAATCAGCATAAGACTAGATCAGTTTTATGACATGTGTGTGCCTGACAGCTCTGTGGACAGATGGACGGTGGGAGGACTGCAGCTGAAGGAAGAAAAATAAATCTGGCAGTGTATACAGTACAGTATGTGGTGAAATGATTTCTATTTCCCTGACAACGACGGGAGGGTTTTAGTTTTTGGATGAGGAGTCAGTAACACACCTGCTCCTTTATGTGCGTCCAGGCTGATGAACTCTATGTTGCCCTCATGTGGCGTCCTGCTTGCTTCACGGTACTCCACGTGTTGGCCCCCTGGACAGTACCTGAAAGCATGGCAGTATCCCCCGAGGTAAACCTAACCCGACACACCCATCCACCAATAACCACCCACCCACAGAGAGAGAGAGAGAGGGAGAGAGAGAGGGAGAGAGAGAGAGAGAGAGTGGTCAGCGTATAACACATTTCAACTGTCTGACTGAGAGTACAGTCAGAATACTTCTCACCTGTGATGTCTGTCCTGGTCGGATGTAGATGTTTTCTGCGTTAATATCAGCATGAACGTATTCGTTTGAATGGATGTACTGCAGAACATCTAACTGCAGGGAGAGAGAAATGTTAGTTTATTACGAAAGCAGCGATAAGTTCTGGATCATGTATTATTATAAATTATTTTTTGACAACCAGTAAAATGTATAGATGACACGAGACTCACTAGTCTACAGGCGAGCTGAAGAACAGCTTTCTCAGCCAGACCATCATCTTCATCAATGACAGACTGCAGAGATTGGCCCATGTTGGGGACAATTAGAAACCTATTAAAAAAGAACATACAAAAACCCAAGTTAATGTAAAATACTTTAATATTGTGTGAAAATATTCACAGATAAACTTTACCAGACCTGTAGGAATCTGCATGAGGACCAAAGCCAACACAGGAAGGAATCCCCAGAAAATCCATCTTGTTTTGTTTGATCCACTTGTCCACTAGAGAGAGAGAGACAACAGGACAACAGAAGGGTTATCATGTGTCATACATATGAAAAGTTACACACATTCCAAATCAGAACTGCATTTGATTTGATTTGTCTCCCAGACTGACAGGATTGTTTGTCCACTACTCTCTAAACAGATGAAATTAATGGCAGACACTTGTGACAGAACTCTTCTAACTATGTACAGGTACTTCTACTTCACACTGTAGCGGTGAGTGGTTCTGTTTCTGACTTACCTATTAAGACTTTGTGTGTTTTACTTTAATAAACACTGATGTTACTACTTTTAGTTTGAACAAAGTTTACTTGTATTTATCATCAGAAGAGTTAGAGTCACGCGGCTGTATGACTGCAGCCCACCCTCCATGTGTGACAGACATTCATCAATGATTTCTGGAACCACAGTTTTTTTTTGCTTTACTAAACATAAATGAAACACTACACCCTCACCAGATGCAGGTTTAGCAGCTCTCTGCAGAAAGTTCTGCTCATTGAAGATTTTTCCATCTTTAGGTCCCTAAATGAAAAACACTTTATTGATCCTAGTCAGTAAAATTGAACTGAAGAAAACTGAAAAGCATTGAGAGAGCAAATCAAAATATGATCTTTGATGACTACATAATGATTTTACCTTCACTGTGATAATAACATCATTATTTGAATGAAGAAACTCCAAACACTTACCAGTTTGAGAATGTAAATCGACTCCTTGGATCGTGAAGCTGTTTGAGAAACTGAAGAGGATGAAAAAATATAAATCTATCATCTCGTTTTTAGTTTTTCAAACTTTTAATAAATGTGATCAGATTATCATCATTAATTATTTCGGCCATCAATCTGTCTTGTTTTAACGTATACTTGCTTCAAGGAATTGTGAAGTCAGAACATCATTGTTAAGTTTGCATATTAGTGATGATAATCAGACCGATACCTGCACCGCTCTTATATTCTCTTGTCTCACCTTCGTAGATGATTTCCGTCGAGGTTTGATTGAGCAGTTTCATCAGTTTCCACTTCTTGCCCGTTGTGTCTGTCACTTCCTCGCCTTCCTCTAGTGGCTTCACAGCGGGCGCATGCTTTGCCTTCTTAGCTCTGCTTTTTCCTGTTCCTGTTCATTCATATAAACATTACAAGAAAGTTATTTTAGAGAAAAAAGGTAAAATTACACAGGTAAAAACTGATGTACAGTGTCTCCTGTGGTTTAAACTGACATCCTGATTTAAAAATGCTCCATAACAATTACTTGTATCCATGGAAATAAGGTTTCAATTTAGTATCAGTAGGTGCATGTGAGTCTGTAAGATTCAGACTTAAGTGTAAAGATGTTAACAGAAGCATGTTAACTTAAGTATCCTGTGATGAGAGGCTGAGTGGTTAATTGAACTAGTTTGTGAATGAATATGTGCGTAACATCTCATGTTGTGTGGTGTTGCTCACCTTTTAAAGGAGACCTGGAGACTGGTGAGGAGACTGGAGAATTTAAAGGGGAGCCGCTGACTGTTGATCCCTCTGCTTCCTCACGTGTTTTAACCTGCTTCAAAGCAGGACTGGAGAGTTTTGCCTTTCCCCTGACTACACATGGATGCAGCCAATATAGATACGGATTAAAGAACAGTGCATGACACCAGAGAAGACAGAGCATGTAGTATTAGTTTAAGTATTGTATGAATGAATAGATTAAAAGATGATGTTTGTTTTGTGGTTCAGCTCACCCAGCCGAGGACTTCTAACAGCAGGAGAAGGTGAAGTCTTTAAAGTTGGTTCTACCTCAGCGTTGACTTTGAAAGTGACTTTATGCTGCTTTGGTGAGGATGTGTGCAATCTAACGACATTATCTGTCAATACAAAACGCATATTTTATTCATCAGTATGTATTATTTTAGGTCAGAAAGTGTTTAAATATAGATGCCATGCTGGGAACCTTACTCTGCTAACATATAAATAACACACAGGCACTTCAATAATCTCCTCACACTACTGAATGCACTTTCTCCTCTTGCATCAGGAAACTAAAACAAAAATAACTTTAGGGTAAAATTGCTTTCAGATTTTAATCACCTTCATTCTTGCCATCTCTGACAGGATTAGGGGAGGGCACCACAGGTGGAGTGGCATCTTTAAAACTGTCCAGTTGCAGCAAGTTACGATTCTTTCGCAGTGCAGGACGAGTTGATACTGGGGCTGTTGAGAAACTTGCTTGGGCTGTTGAAAAAATGTACTTATTAATCAAACGGTCTAGCATCTAGAAATATGACAAATTAATTAATTATAAAATATAGCCAAGATGTGTACCCTTGCCTTCTGTGGGCTCACAGCTTGTGCTTAAAGAAGCAGCTGAGCGCACAGCTCCAGGTTCATCAGCGGGACAGGGAAGCTTCTCTCCACAGGATGGACAAAACTTGAAATCAGACTGCAGCTTCGTCCCACACTGGGGGCAGAAACAGAAAGGCATCCTGCAACAGTAAACACATGCTTTATTAAATATCTATCCTAGCCACTATAATGTCTCTAGGAGTAATGCTCCTGTTAATAATACCTGTAGATGAACCCATAAACTACAACAAACCTATTATTGCGATTTATATTGTGCTTTCCTTTCATCGACCACACAAAGCACTCTACACACAGTGCAAATCATGGTCCACCCATTCATGCACACTTCTACAGAGTACTTTTATACACAGAGCTTTTTCTATCACAAATCATTCACACAGTGTTGGCACAGCCGTCAGGGGCAATTTGGGGTTCGGTATCTTGCCCCAGATCTTCTGGTGAGTGAACAACCCTCTCCACATCTTGTCTGTTGTGAAACTATGTAACTGTCATGACTTAAATAACCTAAACACGATCACTTTTTCACAATTGAATTTGCTATTATCACATTGTATCACATTACAAAATATGCTGCATTACAAGCCCTGCTTCAAAGATATCTACTTTGGTAAACATATGTATGTATATTCAGCAAAATGTACATGGACTATTATAAGTACTCATTGCAGAAAATGACCCCTCTGTTATAATGTATGTATATTAGGATATTGTAGTGTTAGATTTTTAATTGGATGTGTCACTGTTTAGTTTATAATTAAAAATAGTGGAAATGGTCATCGCAATAACCCAGAGCCCAATGTGACACCCACACAATGCTTCTTAACATGATGAGAAACACGGCAAATTGTCACATTTGTGAAACTGGACAAATCAAATGCTTCTCTATATGAACACAAATTACAGGAAACATTTTACAATGTGAGACAGATCCATGATGTGTTTGTCTTTGTCCTAGAGACTCAGCAGAGCCTCCACGTGACATATTATGGTCACAACCCGAGTAGCACAAAATAGAGAAACTGTAGATTTATCTGTGATCACTGTTGTTCTCTCAGTTTGAAAAGAGACGTCAGTTCAAACATGGAGACACGGTGAGCCCTCTGACGTGTTCCCGCCACTGTTAGCACTGAGGCGGGAACACGTCAGATGAAACGAAGGATACAAAGGTTATGGTCGCACAATTAAGTTCTTCCATATGTGTCACTTTCCGTGAATAAATCAAAATACTGACATTTACAAAGTCTATCTGTGGCAAAGACCGAGCAGCTGAACTAGGAACTGAACCTCGTAAAGATAAAATACAGCTGCTCAGTTTTAGACCCGACCATCGTCTTGTTCATGACATTTTCAGGATCTAACAAAAAACAACCTCGGTGATTAAAATACGTGAATAATAGTGAGTAAAAGTTTTGAAGAGAGGTGAAGATTCCGCACCTTCGTCAGAAATAGTCAAAAACAGTCCAACTTCCGGATGCTTCTTCTTCTTCACCGGATATCCGCTCTCTTCTTCTCGTCTTCGCAGCGGCGGGGGAGATGTGCTGCCCCCTGCAGGACTGGAGAGCGGCTGCTGCACGCGATGACTGCTTACCAAAAGTCTCCATCGCCCTCTGGTGGCTGGCCGCTGCACACTTCGTCCACCCCGCCTCCTCCATGTTAGTGGATGGGACATGGACCACGCAAAACAAAACAGATCAAAGTACACATCAAGTTTTTGTTTGATGTGTAAGTTTGGTTTTTCACTGATTATTTGATGTGAAACATCATGATTGACAGCTGAGACTGACTTAGGATTGGTCAATGCAAGATGCTCGTGTTTGTATCCGGGATATTTTGGCTTCATCTCTGGAAAGTGGGAGGAAGTGCAGACACATCGTCCATCTTTATTTACAGTTTAGGTTGTTTTTTATGATTTTTTCCGTGATGTGATGAGGACGCAGTCTAAATTAAAAATGGATTTAACGTGTTTTGTCAACAGTGACAACATCGATCAGGTTGTACATTTATTTACTGCCTACTGCGCCATGAGCCTTTCATCTGGTGTTACAGTACACAAGTAACATAAGTTCAATCAAATCAAATAAATTGACCATCTTAAGTGAGGACATAATCGGGACAACCTGAAGAAATGTAAGTCAATGCTTTATATTTTCAATACATTTGTAAAAACGTGTAAATAAGTTATCTTTGTTATTATGAGCCCATGTGCATAAGTCAGTAATGGTTTTCAAATTTAGTTTGCAGTATCAGAAATGACTGAAAAACATTAAAAACAGCTTAAACTGCACATAAGCTCATATAAAGCCCATAGTCAACATTGTCAGAACCTGTTATAGACAATGAGATTCTACTTCAGTGATTACATAAATAAAAATGTTTATTTTTGGACACAATTTACATATTTTGCAAATGCAATTGTTACAATCGACAACATGAAATATTTCAGTTGAGACTATTAGCTAATCAAATTTCATGTAAGTGAACGATTTAATTTGTATTGAAATTGTGAAACATCAAATTCACAATTTTATACAGAAATAAAGAATGAATTATGATTTTTGTGTGAAGTTACTAAATACAGTTCAGAAAAATAACCCCAGTGTAAATACTCTCCATTCTTGTAAAATATAAAACATAGTGGTATTATAAACTGATCTGCAGCCTTGGCATTTCAAATGCATTGCATAAGAAAAACTTAAGTGCAGGCCCAATTTTATTGCCTTATTTATAAATCTTGTCAATGCAAAATCTATCAAGATCACCAGATTGACCAGGCTAGTGTGCTGTGTATTACTCTAGTTAACATGGTCACATTAAGACCTGAAACACACGATAAAAGGTTTCTATCAGACATTTGAAGCCCATTGGATTATTTCTTACAATGTATTTAATGATAAGTTGACCAAAAAAAGTAAATACACCCCTTAAATATGTGGCATTTGTTGTGTGAGATACATGTAGCACCCAGCCCATTTTCCCTGAAGATAATATTTTACTTTATAAAAGTGTATTATATTATTCTTCACACCAGTAGAGGAAGCAAAATACATAAACACAAACAGTCTGTGATTTAAAGCTGTTGCATTGTAACAAGTGAATAATGATACAAATGTATAAATGCAGAGGATCCAGGTTTGACAGCTTCACCAAAGCTGGTTTTACTTTTCTGGAAGCTGCCGAGCAAAATCGTTTGTGTAATGTAAATCTCAAGTTTTGTCATTAGTGACGATAATTAACTATATATGTATTCAAAATGGAGCCAGTAGGAAAGAAGTCGCTGAGCTAAAGTGAGTGAACTGAAAGTGATATTTTAGTTTAAATTTTAAAATCCAATTCAAGAAACTCTATTTCCTCAAACTGTTTAAATAAACACAAAAGCAACAGGGAGATTTTGCATTTACTTTTTTTCTTAAAAATGTATATCATGAAAATTTTAACTTCTATTCTTGTTTTTATTTGTTGTGTTTGTGCTTTTTTAAAGCAGGATAAATTACCTCAAATACCCAGACTCCTGGTTCAGTGCTCAGTTTTCTCTATTACTTTTGTAATTATTGGCCAAACCAGTTGTGTACATAATCAAGTTTTCATGACTAACTAAGTAACTGTGTTACATAATTCATGTTCTGCAGACAAACAAGCACAAGAACTGAGTCAGAAAAGAAAATACAGAGTTTGTAGAGAGTCTAAGTAGCTTGTGCTGGATGGTCAATGTGAGCTATACTTTTTTTGTTACCTAAAAGTACAATGTCCCTCCAGCAACAATCAGTGACTGAAGGTATCACAGTCAATATTTATCTGGCTGACAAATAATGGAGACTTCTTCCTTGAGTTAAAACCAGTGAATCCACGCTAACCTCACAGAAAGTGTATCTATAGGACATCTGGCAGGGCAGCGCTCTTTGCTGCAACAGGGAGCACAAAGTTTATACCTGAAAATGTGATCAGTGAATTCCAGTAATGAAAAGATGGAAATTTAAGCAAGGCAATAAATATCCAATACTCACAATCAAAATGAATTAATAATATGAATCCTTGTGAAAATGTCCATATTTAAAAAGGCACTGAGATCTGTACTGAAAAATAACATAACGTGTCAATAAAAGTATGCACAGTTTATGGAGCAATGGGCACAAATGACTGTTAAGTTTGACCTAACACAGAAATAATCCTCTCACTTTGTGAAACATTGAACGTGGTTGTCTTTCTATTTTTTTCGCCAGTATCATGGACACACACATATGTAACTCAAATGACTCCACATAATTCTAACATGCACATTTGCTCTGCTCCGAGCTCTCGGAGATGTCTGAGTCGATGGGTCCGTTAGCTCGGACGGTCCCGTCGGGGATCCAAGACTTGTCGACACATCGTTCCATCCTCTTCATGATGAGATCGAGCAGGACGTCCACGGCCTGGTTCACATTCTCCCCTTCAGCAGCACTCGTCTCAAAGTATGGGATTCTGGACAGAAGAAAACAGCTAAGTCAAACACTGATGCTACCAAATACAATAAAACACATATCTTTGGACTATAGACTATAAAAAGGTTAAAGGTAGAGCAATCCCATGATTTAGCTACTACTTTTAACAACACCCACAATAAAACCAAAACAAACACAACGTAATGTAATACTACCTCAATATAGTTATTTATCTTTAGGTAAACCGTAAATTAACTCTGTAGGTTTGGGTCCTTGACGCTATGGCACAGAAAAAGGAGCTATATTAGCATTGGCTAACAAAGATAATAACGCTTTGCTGGTGCTTGGTGATTTCATAAGATTTTTGAGAAATACAAAAAAATAGCTGAAATCAAAACAAATATCAATCAAATATTTGACCATTTTTTTATGATTTACATGATGATTAACAGCAAACTTCTGTGTGGAGAATCATTATTATACAGGCGATAAAGCTGTGTACCAGGTAAAGGTACAGTGTGTAGAATTTAGTGATATCTAATGGAGAACTGCAATTCATACACTTTAGATGAAATGAACTAGTGAAACATCATGAGGATTATTCTACATTCAAATTTCTGCCAGTCGTTCCCTTTCACCTAAATCTTACACACTGGAGCTTTAACGTAGGGGGGCCACACTGTGGTTTATTCTAAGGACATTTAAAATGTGTTATAAAGTTCACATCCTAAACAATGTCTATGTTTTTACTTCAGGTGTGTCTAATGGGGCCAGAGCAGGATATTTTACACACGCTCAAATATTTGCTTTTCGAGGAGGAACAGTTCAGGCAGACATTCTCCTGCAGACTCTGGCAAACAGTGCAGCCACTGCCTTCTTGACAAATGTTTGAGGGAGAGGTTCATGTACAGATGGATCAAAACAGAGACATACCCGTACTTCTCTGCCAGCTCTCGTGCCTCGTCTTCTCTCACTGCTCTCTGATCCGTCAGGTCACATTTGTTGCCGCACAGAACAATGTCTGGATTTTCGCAGTACGCGTGAATCTGTAACTGACCTGAAAGACACATTCAGCAGTTTATTAAATATATAGTCAGGAGAGGGGCCGAGTTATGATGCCATCATAATTTTTATGGCACTGCAGAGTCTGTGATGTTATCTAGGATGGAAAATAAAGCGGTGAACTGGAAATTAAGCAAATAATGCGTTGGAAAAAGGCAGTAAGAGGCGCATTCCCTCTTCTTACAGTAAACACAACTCGGAAAAAGTTTGCCAGACATCTGTAACGAGGAATTAACCAAGATAAAAGTCCTGTGGAAGTGGATTAAATAAAACAGGATGTGACTCGATGCAATGTCATCATCCTACGCCAACGTGATAGACACTAATGTATCACATTCAATGCAAATAAGATATCTGAGCAGAGCAAATGCAGCAGATTTGGGCAGAATAACATTTGCACAGAGACAACTTTAACTGGAAGAGACACATTTATCACACATCTGACAACAATGTATTATCGATGATACATGAGCCAGACTCAAAGCTTTTGTGCCAGAAATCTAATAGAATGAAATGTCATGAACACTCGTATTTCTCTTAAAATAAAAGATTTGTGTAGTCATTATCTCCAGAATCATCAGCTCTAATGGCAACAGATGAACATACTCATCCAGTTTCTGACGTTGAGGAAACTTTGCTCATTTGTGAGGTCAAACAGGAGGAGGAAACCCATCGCATCTCTGAAGAACGCAGTCGTCAAACTCCGAAACCTAAAAGCATTCAGAAAAGACTTCATGAGAAATAGAATTAGTTACGATAAAGACATCAGTAGGTTATTAAGTGCTTCATGTACCTCTCCTGTCCTGCAGTGTCCCACAGCTGCATGTGGATCTTCTGCCCTCGACCTGAGGATCCATCTGGACCTGAGGATTTGTAGACCTGAGAGAAAAAAAGAAAAAAGTAACGTCAAAACGAACAGGACCCTCTCTGCTCTACATTTAGCTGCTAGTCAATAAAGAAAAACAAGAACATCATGATCATGTTGTGGGGACACGATTGAGAGTACTTGCCTCCACTAGAAAAAACAAGTAATGATCTAGGAGCGCTGAATGTTGTTTAGATTAGAGTTTGGTTTAGCTTTTGATATTTGTGTAGCAAGATATTATATTAGCAGATATTATGTAGCAAGAAGGCTACAGCTCAGAGGAGAGCAACCAAAGGCCAGGCCTCAAAACAGTAGCTCCTGTTACTATGTTGGTAATATTGACACTACAGACCGGAGTTTACTCAGCTACAGGTGAGAGACTTCAGCTCACCGAAGACGCGCAGCAAAGAGCAGAGGTGGAACGGAACCTTCAGCGACTGCAGGAGGGCTCAAATCTCTGTTAATATGTGTTTTATAATATCCAAGTATGAGCCATGAACCGTGATGTCACACATTGTCATAGTGTGTGAAGACACCGTGCCTATTTCTACACCAGTAATCTCTGTCAATCAAATATCAATACCTGCATACATGTTGCAGTGCAGAATACAACATGTATATAGGTATCTTGTTTATTCCTGAATAAGTACATCGAACGTAAAACTTAAATTTCAGTGGTTTAAAAGATTTAACGAAACCAGATTGTTATAAAAAACATTTGTAATCCTAAAATGATCAGCAACAGTTCAGGGAGTGACTTTAATAAAAAGTCCAGCCCAGTTATTTCACATTTAATTCCTTATAATATTCTCCACATATTTTCTATTATCTATTCATCAGTGCAGCAAACACTTTCCTCAGCCAGCAACCAGAGGAGAAGCACAGCTCTGGGATGTTTGAGCACACATTTTAATTCTTTATTGTGCTTTCACCATGTAAAATATTTGCGGTGTTTTAAAAAAAAAAAAAGCTGCTTTGAAAGTGGCGATCTCATAGTTAATGCAACTTTGGATGATATTCTCGTGGAGTATTAACCTGCTGGGACTTTCAATGAGAAGCTGATAAGAATCACGTGAAATGAAGAGATAATAATTATAGGGATTTATAATTCAGCAAGTGAACAGAACTGACGTGATAAAACAATTAGTCACGCACATTCCTGCAGCAGGTCAGCAGCATTAGAGACTGAATATTGAGTAAATATGAGCACTGCTCAGCTGTTTGCCAATGGTATGAAGTGTTTATTCTTAAGGAGGGTTCCGCTCACCAACATCAGTCAGTGCTCAGATTTCTGTTGCAACCTTCATCAGTAGTCTTTTGTTACACCGGTCTTACTTAATGATGTAGGAATGCGTTAAAGCTCTTAATTAGGCAGCAACAAGAGCTTGAAGAAACACTTAGAAACAAGTAAATGAGTTGAATGTAAAATCCACGTGTGCTTTTACTGAGCTAACAACTCCACTCTATCCTTTATTTTACTATTTCATTCAAAAGCGATTGAACCTACCACTCTTTTTTCTCTGAAGTCTATCCCGACTGTGGTGATGAACTTGGAGTTAAACTTGCCATCTGTGTATTGGTAGAGGAAGCTCGTTTTTCCCACGCCGGAATCACCGAGGGCTAGGAATTTGATGAGGTAATCATAGTCCCCATCAGACATAGTGAGTCCTTAATATCTGAAACACACAAACAAAACAAATCAACAATCACACTAGGTGGCACAGAAAGACATCTGACAATGACACGTTTTTTTATTCCCCAGATGACACAACAGTTGGACCTAAACCATAACAATCTACATCAAATCCAAGAAATTAAACATCAGCCAACTTTATACATTCATGTAATTATTGATATTTCATTAATAAAGTGACAAACGATCATTTAAGGTCAATAAATCCCATGAAGAAAACAAAAACTTTCTGTGTAATCAAAGCCAGATATTGCTCATTACTCCGTGCCACAGGATTCAATTATTGTAAAAACGTTGTCAGTTTATATGTAAAATGAAAAAAATACTAAAAGCTATAAGAAATTATCTAAATCAAAGCCAGTTTGTACAGCACAGAGTCATGAGAGGGGGCAACACAATAGAAACCCATGAGAGAGAGAACTAGGTTAATATATTTGTCACCAAACACAAAATCAAACCACTTTTTCTAATTATATGTTGAATAAATAATAACCATAATAGTGGCTATGATCTTTAAACATGTTCCTTCTTGATTCTAGTTCAGGTCAACAGCCAACCAGTCAAGTTGCAGTTTTACATCCACGTCTGTTTAGATTGTAGCGGAGCAATGGAAGGAATTTCAGATCAACACAAACAACCATAGATTAGAAGTGGAAAAATGGAAAAATGGTCATAATCTGTGGCGAGACACAATGTCCACAAAAGTGCTTGAGCTGAACATTACGATGTCACAGTGAAGTTGACATTTGAACCATTGGATTTAAAAGACATTACTTCATTTTATCCTGTTAAACATTTGTGTTAAACTGTGATATTAATAACAGTTATGGCCAAAAAAGTGTTTTTGATGTCACACTGACCTCGACCTCTGACGACAAAGTTCTCATCAGGTCATGCTCGGGTCTGACTGAATGTTGGTGCCAGCGTTAATGACCTTCCCCCCACATTCCTCAGAATATCACGTTCATAAGAATGACTCAGTCAGTACTGGCATAACGAATATAGTTTGTCACACCTTTTACTCTAGTATTATGTAAAACCTCCACAGTTTCAACCACATGCTGTTGTGGGCCAACATGTGTAACGCAAGAGCTGCTTCATGTTGCTGACTAGGTGACAGGAAACATTTTAAATTCCTGTCACAGACACACAACAAAACAGACAACATTTGAGTTTTGTCTCCTTATTACAACTACATCAAGAAATGAGTGGAATGCAGTTTTACACATTTTAGATTAAATGTTGAATTTATTTTAGTTAAGGAACACAGTATGAAATATTTTCTTACATTTTCTCATTGAGTATGAGCAGCATCATTTGACATCTACCGGATGCAACATTGTTACTAACGGTCGACTAACTCTAGTCAAAACAATCAGGAGAGAGAGCGTGGATGCATCATGTGACCACTGCATAGAAAAGTATTCAGACAAGTCTTAAATTCCTTCCGTTTAAAACCCACTGGACCTTTCATCTGGAGACATAAGCTGCTTAAGGTCTCGTGCTAAATCAAGATCCATGATAAATGTGGTCAGATGGAAACAGCATCTCCAAGCACAGAGCTCAGCCCAAAGAACCCTGGAACCTGAGAGACTTTTATTTAACTCCTTTAAAAGCCATAGGTTTTTTTCATCCGGGCTGCTCGACTTTGGACTTTGGACGATGAGCTCAGCCGCTAAGAGACAAACTCTGGAAACTTCTTCTTTAATGAGATGATTATTTGTGTCTGACATTCATTTTATTTTTTAACAAAATCCTCTCAGGTTCCTGCTTTGACTTGAAAAACTTTCATTTCTAATCTCATTACCTGATTACTGATCTTATGATTTACTGTTGGGAGCCAGTTCTTAACTCTGCTTTATGGATATTTAATAATTACCTTCGCCAAAGAGGTTATGTTTTCACCTCTGTCTGTTGGTTTGTTTGTTTGAAAGCAAGATTGCATAAAAGCAACTGAACAGATTTCCAGGAAACTTGGGGGTAGGATGTGGTTTGGGTCAGAGAAGAATCTGTTCAATTTCAGGTCCAACCTCCAGACATTTTCACCATTTTTCCAAGGTATAATTCATGGATGTCAATGAAATATGATTTGTATGAGTGTGTGAAATTTGTTGTAGCTTGATTGAATTTAAGGGGACTGCTGGGCCTCCAGTTTACATTTTCATTACTCACTGTGAGCAAAGCAACCACAACTCCTCGGCTGGTCACATGCTTCCCTTAAATAACCTCCCTCACCATAAACTGTCACTGTACAGTGTAACATTGCGTAGCAGCTTTGTGTCGGTCAGTGAAAACCACATTCCTCAGATCTCTACGTCTTTAAATTGACATGTGAGCAAGAACGCTAACTAGCTGAAAACCTCTGTCTCATTTGATCTTTCGTTGCACTACTTTCTTCTTGTCTTTCATTCAAAGGCACTGTGAGCAAGTACACTAAAGCAGTAAATCAGAATCAGAAGTACTTTATTAATCCCTGTAGGGAAATTCAAAACTAAAGCAGTCTGATACGTTACCACCGCCCTGCAGTAAATATTGCGTTTGTGACTGTTCTAATGTTCAATTTTGTTGAAACTGTCTCAGAGAAATGTTCATTTATGATCATTATAGACGATGCAGTTTGTGGTTTGAGTCCATTACACAAAAAATGTGTCTATTTATATCACCAAGGAACAACCTCCAACCTGATCATAAAGTTAATCAGTGTCCGTCTAAAGCTGTTTCAATAACACCTGAACATTCTAAACTCCATTTACTGCAGGACTGGATTTGTTTTTAGCTTTTTGTACTTAATAAACAAATTAAAATATGAGTGTTAAAAAGCTCTTTTCATACATTGTGTGGTGGAACAGTCTTGTTTGAAGAGCTAAGTTCTAAAGTTATCTGACAGCTGAGGCTCAAATTAATCTGCACATATAAATAACGTTTCTACCCATGTTACTCTGATCCGTATTCAAAACCCTCATACAAGCTTAAGTAACTACAAGTTGTGTGGTTCAGTAAAAACAGGTCCTGGAAATGACGCAGAAAAGCTAAACCACACACATGCAGATTGTGTCAGCAAACGTCTGCAGACTTTAACCATGCTAATCAGACGACTGTTAGAAAACAAGAAATGGTATAATCCCACATTAGCCAAAGTTAAAAGTAAACGATCCTTCATAATCAATATGTCCAATACACGTTTGAATTTGCGAAGCCATTTACTCACATCAAACTTCTCGGCCCTATCACAGCTGTGAAAGGGAAGCAAGCTCTGACGGAGAGTGTGATCTTGTGTGAGGAAAGAAAACACTGAGTGTAGCAAACAGTCAGAAAGAACAAGAAGTCGTGTCCTCGTTACTTAACACAAACCTCTCTGAAACAACAACATCCTCTCCTGCCTCATGAACTTCAACACAACAGAGCTGGTGAGAAAAAGGTGGGAAAGAGACACTAAGACGTTCAGAAAGCTCTTCTCTGAGAAACTTGACTGTTCTGCCGATTGCCATCTTGACAAGTCAACTTCATGATCATGTTTCATACCTTAGGAATCATGAAGGATAAGTGAACTTGGGGGTAAGAAGTGTGAGTGAACAGTGTCATGTTTCACTCACTATAATGCAGAACTTCACGAGGAAAAGGCCTCACAAGCATCTAAACTAAATGTAATGGTGTTGTTACTGACACCTAAAATGTTTCTATCCAGGAAGGAAGCAACGTCTATAGTCTGGTGAGATAATATCAGCTTTAAAAAGCAGAATTGGTATCTTGTTTTATTGATGGTAACTTTTAAACCAGTATTCTTGTATTTATATTCAATAAAAGTATGTCACTTAGTACAACTGAGAATATAAAACGTCACATCAACAAATAAGAATGCAATATTTTTTTCTCCTCAAAGCCGATTAGCTGATGCAACATGAAAACATGTCACCACATAATGTCGGTTGTATATTTTATAAAATTATCAGACAGCGCTCAATGTGAGAGAATGATACTGACACAGAAACCATCGGTGAATTTTACTACAACAATGTGAGTCTTAAAAAATGACTACAAACTAAAACAATGTGCAGATAGAGGGAGAGGCAGGGAGCAACAGGTTCCCATGATGCAGTTTGGCCTCTAGTGTGTTAATGCCCTGAGTGCAAAGACTGAATAACACTGTGGCATTTTAAAAAAACGATTGACATCGACATTAACATCATCCTGTGTTGCAGCTCGATTGCACAATTAATGTGTGAATTAAAATCCATGTCTGCATCGACCAACAAGGGTGAAAGAAGACTGAGTGATTTCCTAAATACCCACATGAGTTCTGTAAACTACATCTGCAGAGGGTCTTCTCTGGGGGAAGCAGGACTCCACCATGTTGGACTGTCTGAATCAGTAGCAGCAGAAATGGTCCCATGTATGTTATCATTTATATTTTCCCTGTCTTGATGTGTTACTTATTGAAAATGTCCTCCATCTTGACCAGAATGCTTGTGACAAATGTTGGATTGGTACAAAAGTAAAGAACATTATTATGAACTACTGGAAATCTCCTGCCTCACCATCTTTCTCTGCCTGGCTACAAGGTGCAATGTTTTTCCTGAGATTAAATTAATTAAAGATTAAATAAGCACTTTGAGAAATACTTCATGTCTCTTTTATCCCAAGTGCTATCAATATGCTAAACAGCAATTAAATGTTAGCTTGTTTTTTCTTTAAAAATCTGGGTTGTTTATGCCGTTGCTGAAATGTGTTTTTATTGTGGATGCTGTTCTGTCTTTGCAAACTCTTGCTGCACTACAAATTTCCCCTTGTGGGACAATAAAGATAAAAATAAGAAAGATAGGATAAAGGCAATACTGTAGTGTTGTAGGTAAAGTAAATCTGAATAGTGTGAATTATGGCTACCTGATGGATGGGTTCATTTATTTGTTTGTGGTTTCTTTTTTTGACATGCCTTGTTTGTTAAATATGTTTAAATCTAAATACAGAACCAGGTCACCTGTATTCAATGTGTCTCCATCGATAAAATATAGAAAAAAGAAAAACATCTCATCTCAACCCTTTCCTGTTTCAATAGAGTTTTTAAAAAGCAGAAGTAGAGAAGCTCTGAGCTGTACCTCGCTACCTGTTGGGCAAACTCCTGCAGTGGGAGTGAACCTGGTAGCTGTGATTACCAGGCGTGTATATCCACCACCACCCAGCAAACAGCCGAACGAGCAGCAAACAAAAAGCAGCTTTAATCATTTGTCAGGGAGGAGCGGAGGACCCACCCTGGGCTGCGGTCCAACACAGAGGCTGGCAGCTCCCAGGGAAAATCCGGATATGCACATACCATCAACTTCAGCTTATTTTCTCCAGAGGAGAAGGGTGCAGCACTAAGGTGATGACGATTACATGTGCTGACATTTGAAATGTGAACACCAAGCAGCTTTAAAAGCTAAATATCTGCCCGTGGAAATACCTGCCGAGGGTTTATCTGCAAACAAACACTAAAATCAATTAAGTGAAACAAACAGAAAATCTAATGACCCTCAGCTGGTCCTCATGTGGTTGCCAGTGCAGGTCAGGTGACCTCTCAAACAGGAAATAATCACCTTTTTTAAAGTTAATGTGGATCCTGAACTTATTGGAACATCCCCTGGTCCTCTGCCACACGTCCATGTGTCCAGATCAGTGTTAAATATAAAGATCTGCTTGAGGAGACGCGTTTTCCTGGAGTGACGGGCTGTGATCAGTGTTATTGAGCAAGTGTGGAGAAGTGGAGCAGAGGATGATAAGCAGGTGGAGAAATGTTCCCACAGCTCTGTCTGATAAACCGAGGGTCAGGCGACATGACAGCGGGGGTGGTTGCAGCCAACAGAGACCGATAAGAGTGTGTTGAAGTTACAGGAGAAGTTTCCAGAGTGAGGCTAACACTGACAGATGCTACAACCTGCTCCCTGTGTGTGTTCGTCATGTTATTTCCTGAAAACAGTGTGAACACTCACCGGCCCCGGGGCGTCGCTGCTGCCGCTGCCTCTGCTGCTGCTCTCGGTCCTGAGGAACTTTTCTTCAGCTCTTCAGCGGTGATAACTGAGAGCGGCGCAGTAAATGGAGGGTTTCTTCACTTTGAGAGTCGCCTGTGATCCATGAGTCGAGCTGCGGCTTCATTAACACTGAGCACCAGCTCCTCTCTCTCTCTCTCTCTCTCTCTCTCTCCGACACTCAGCTCCTCCCCACGCACCGATCACTCACAGCCGGATGAGTGAAGGGGAAACGGGCGGTGCAACACAGAGCTGCTGCTCCTCCACTGTAATGATACACACACTCTACGTTACTGATTACTTCAACTTCACAGATTACTTTAACTTTACTGATTACTTCAACTTCACAGATTACTTTAACTTTACTGAATACTTTAACGTTACTGATTACT